TACCACCCAAAATGAAACACTCAGACACTGATCAAAATACGTACAATATAGATCCCTATGAGGAAACCCACAACATTTTGATAAAAAAGTCAAATAAATAAATAAATAAATGGATACACACCATGTTCACAAAAGATTCAATAACATTGTCAAGAAATTAGTGTTTCCGAACTTCAACTATAGATTAAATGTAATTCTAATCAAAATCCCAGCAAGATATTTCATGGATATCAACAAACTGACTAAAGTTTATCTGGAGAGGCAAAAAACCCAGAGTAACTAACACAGTATTGAAGGAGAACAAAGTTGGAGGACAAACACTACTCAGCTTACTGGAAGACTGCAGTAATTAAGACAATGTGGTATTGGCAAAAGAACAGACAGACCAATGGAATAAAATAGCCTAGAAACAGACCCCCATAAATATAGTCAAGTGGTCTTTGATAAAAGAGCAAAGGCAATACCACAGTGTAAAGTTAGACTCCTCAACATGCAAATAATAATAATAATAATCCACATGCAAGTAATAATATAGTAATATTATATATAAACATATATTATATTAATATTATTATAGTAATAAATCTAGACACAGACCTTATATCCTTCACAAAAATTAACTCGGAATGGACCACAGACCTAAACATAAAACGCAGAACTATAAAACTTCTAGACAAAACACGGGAAAAAAATCTAGATGACCTTGAGTATAACGAGATCTTTTTAGATACTCCAAAGGCATGGTGCATGAAATAAATGATTGATAAGCTCAATGATTTAAAATTAAAACTTCTGCCCTCCCAAAGAATATTAAAAGAGTTAGAAGAAGAGCCACAGACTGGGAGAAAATACTTGCAGAAGACATGTCTGATGAAGAACATGTATCCAAAATATCCAAAGAACCCTTAAAAGTCAACAATGGGAAAACAATCTGACTTTAAAAATGGGCCAAAGGCCTTAACAGACACCTCACCAAAGAAGATATACAGATGGCGAATAAACATGAAAAGATGCTCCACATTGTATGTCATCAAGGAAATGTAAATTAAACAAGAGGTACCAATTAGAATAGCCAAAATCCAGAACACTGACAAGCCCCAGTGAGGATTCAGAACAAGAAGTGTCAAATATGGCCGGGGGAAATACAAAATGGTACCACCATTTTGGAAGACAGCTCAGCAGTATCTTATAAAACTAAACTATCTTTACCATATGACCCAGCAATCGTGCTCCTTGGTATTTGCTCAAAGGAGTTGAAAACTTCTGTCCACACCATAACCCATACAAGGATGTTTATAAAAGCGAGATTTATTCATAATTGCCAAAACTTGGAAAACAACCAAGATGCCCTTCAGGAAGTGAGTGGATTAAAAAACTACGGTACATCCAGACAATGTAATATAATTCAGTGCTTAAAAAATAAAAAGTTATTAAACCATGAAAAGATTTGGAGGAAGCTTAAATGCATGGTACTAAGTGAAAGAAGCTATTCTCAAAAGCCTACATACTCTGTGATTCCAAGTATATTAAATTCTGAAAAAAGGCAAACCTATGGGAACAATAAAAAGATAACTGGTCGGGGCGCCTGGGTGGCTCAGTCGGTTAAGTGTCTGACTTTGGCTCAGGTCATGATCTTGCAGTTTGTAAGTTCAAGCCCCGGAGTCTGGAGACCGTTTCAGATTCTGTGTCTCCCTCTCTCTCTCTCTCTGCCCCTCCCCACCTCAAAAATAAACATTAAAAAAATTAAAAAAAAATAATTGGTTACAAAGTTTATGAGGGTGGTGGGTAGGAGGGAATGGAGAAATGAACAGGCAGTGCAGATCAAGATTTTCCTCTATACATTATAGTGATGGATACACACCCAGAGTGAACTGGAAGGTAAAAACCATGGGCTCTGAGTGATTACGATGCATCAATGTAGGATCATCCCTGGTAAAAACGTATATTCTGGTGAGTGAGGCTGATAGGGTGGGGGAGGCTGTGCATGTGTGGGGGCAGCGGGTATATGGGAAGTCTCTTGATTCTTCCTCTGTTTTATTGGAAACTTAAAACTGCAGTAAAAAAATAAGTCGTTAGAAAAAAAAGTATGACAATTGGAACTGTGCTTAATGGTATGAAAAAACAGGAACTCTCACCCCATGGGTAGGAGTAAATTGGAGCAACCACTAAGAAAAATACAGCAATGTCTAGTGAAATTTAGAACTCTTAACCTCTGTCTCAAGATTTCCACTCGTAATTATGTGATCCAGAGAGGCCTTCTTACATAGCGCATGTCTCCTCCAAGGAGACATGTATGATAATCATTGCAGCACAGCTTGTAATAGCAAATACAAACACAAATAATACCGGGAATTTAAATGTGTGCCAGTCCACCAACAGACTGCATAAATTTGGGTATCTGTAAAATCGATAACTACCATTCAAGATTTATAATAAATGAGTATGAGCAATTATTAAAATCACAATGCTGAACCAAAAAAAAGCAAACTACAAATTGATCCATTAGTAGGACAACCCACATATCAAGATTAACAACCTATAAAACAAGGGATGGGTTAAATAAGTGATGGGGATTAAGGACTGCACTTGTGATGAGCTTCGGGTGATGTATGAATTCCTGAATCACTATGTTGTACACCTGAAACTAATACAACATTCTGTTAACAGGAATTAAAATAAGAATTAAAAAAAACACAACCCTGTAAAACAATACTTGTTAATGTCTATGGATACACACATATGTAGTAGAAGCATAAAACATGAATGGCAAATTCAACAATAACTTCATGACAATGGTTATCTCTGGAAGGGAAGTAGGGGAATTGGGAACAGGAAGTTCACAGGAGCCCCAACTGTATCTACCATAGTATATTTCTTTAAAAGAAAAAAAAAAAAAAAACATTCTTGGCGTGCCTGGGTGGCTCAGTCATTTAAGCATCTGACTTCAGCTCAGGTCATGATCTCGCAGTCCGTGAGTTCAAGCCCCATGTTGGGCTCTGTGCTGACCGCTCAGAGCCTGGAGCCTGCTTCAGATTCTGTGTCTCCCTCTCTTTCTGCCCCTTCCCCGCTCATACTTTCTCAAAAATCAACATTAAAAAATCTTTAATAAAAACAATAAAAATAAATTCTTGAGCAAATAGGGTTAATTTTAAGATTTGATTAAGTATGTAACAGGATAGAGTGGGTGTCTGCATGTTTATAATATTGATATTATTTGTATGATCAAAACCATACACAATTTTTTAAACCTGAGTTAATGATAAAAGCAGTGGCAGAGGGGCACCTGGGCGGCTCAGTTGGCTTAAGTGTCCAACTTCGGCTTAGGTCATGATCTCACAGTTTGTGAGTTCAAGCCCCTCATGGGGCTCTCTGCTGTCAGCACAGAACCTGCTTTGGATCCTCTGTCCCTGTCTCTCTCTGCCCCTCCCCTGCTCTCTCTCTCTCAAAAATAAGCATTTTTAAGGGCACCTGGGTGGCTCAGTCGGTTAAGCATCTGACTTTGGCTCCAATCATGATCTGCAGTTTGTGAGTTCGAGCCCCGTGTCAGGCTCTGTGCTGACAGCTCAGAGCCTGGAGCCTGCTTTGGATTCTGTGTCTCCCTCTCTCTCTGCCCCTCCCCAACTCGTGCCCTGTCTCTCAAAAATAAATAAACGTTAAAAATAAGCATTTTTTAAAAAGCAATGGCTGATAGTTTTTGGAAACATAAATTCAGTCTCAAAGTATCAACCCACAGATTATTCATTACAAGGGAAGAAAGATAACCTTTACAATGCCGGTGTGTCAAACACTACCTTAATTAAGTGCGCAAACTTAAAATAATGGGACAAACTGATAGGAAACTCCTGATATATGAAGGCATAGTATCACCCACAGAATTGTAGTATTCTTGCCAAAAATGTTTAACTTAAACTTAATTTAAAAACAAAAACAAAAACAAAAGTAACTTTGGGACCCTTTTCAAAACAGCTAACAAGTATCACATTAATCACCATCTCCCCCCAAAAAGGAGGGGAAACATTTCAGGAGGGGAAACTAAAGAGGTAACTAAATGTAATGTGTGATTCTTGATTTAATTCTGGGTAAAAAAAATTAAAGTTCTAGAAGTACATTTTGGGGGCAATTGAAATTTGAATATTGCCTTAATATTTGAAAATTTTATTGTATTTTGTTAGCAAATGTCTTAAGTGCGATAATGGTATTATGATTTGGAAGGAAATATCCTTGTTATTAGTTGCTGAAATATTACGGATAAAGTGTCACTATGTCTACAATATACTTTCAAATAGTTAAGGAGAAAAACATAAGTAAACATTTAAAAAATTTTAATATGCTAAAAAGCCACAGAAATTATAAAAAAAAATTTATATTTTTAAAAAAGAAACACTATAGAACTAAGTATTAATTTTCTGCTACTCATGAGTCAAGACACTTTTCCCTTTCTCTCCTTTATTTTAGGCTGAACTAATTTATGGCTAGAAAGGGAAAAATGGACTTTGAGATGATGTAGTCACTTGAACATAAGCACAATTGGGCAAGAGGTAGAGTGATGATGGTCTAAATTCTTTTGCCCTAATTGTAGGCATCACATTAATTATATGAGAAATTATCAGTAGGTGATTAGTTTGAGAAATTTCACAATCAAATAATTTGGACAAATCCAAATTATTATACTGCCACTAACATGAAGGAAAAAAAATAATTTTAGCAAAGAGATAACTTCCTTTCTTGGGACATTTCTATAATATCTTCACAGTAGTGAGTACACTATTCTATCAAACAGCATAACTATAGTTTGTGGTCCACTGTACCCCATGGAGTGACCTTGATTATCACAGAAATGCAATGCAGATAACAAAGAGATAAAAAACTGCAATTTCCAGACTATGCCTTTAAGAGAACATTCAGAATTATACCCCTAGGGGAAAACTACCACTCTGGAAAGTGGATTCCCAATAACGTTGATCATTTTCTAGGTAAAATTTCAAAAACGACCAGCCATATGTTTTGTGTCTTTTTTTAAAAAGTATTTATTTTTTACTAGTGAGGTTGGAACCAGGCAAAGAAATTTACAGAAAAGATGTCCATATATAAAGAAAGAAATAGCAAAATATTTTTTGGTCATAATTTAGAAACAAACTAGTCCATAAAAAGGGGACAGTTTTCCCCAATTCTTCTCTTCCCTAGAAGAGTATAAGCACGGGCTCTTAGTTCCTTGATATCCTCAGCAGGCCTCGGATACGTCTGACAAGAGCTTGTATGAAACTATAGCGAGATCGAACTTTCGAGTATAATCCTTCAATGTCCAGAAGTTTCTTTTGTAGTGATTCTCCAAAAGCGTTGATGGCGTCAGCCTGAAGCTAGAGTTAACACAGATGATATTTTGTTATTAAAACTATAGTCTCAAATATTTTTTGTTTCATGTCTTCCAATTTAAACTATCTTTGAAATTTTGTAATGTGGTCCTTTCTCATGTAGCAAATTAACTAAACATTCCTTCTATGCTACAATTTATTGGTATGATATTGTTTTCCCCTCTTTCCTGTCTTGTATAAATGTTTAAAATTTTAAATAACAACAACAAATGATGCTGTTGTTGACATATGGACATACTGCAGTAAAATATTTCCTGACTGGTGACACAAGTTGTTAGGAGTGGATGCCTCTGGGGAAAGAAACAGGATAAACTAGAAAGAAGCTTTTACTTTTTACTTGGTTTTGCAATTAAAAAAAAAAGAAAAAACCATTTCCATGCTTTCACTTTCAAACAATATAAACAGAAGACAAGAACCTGGTATACACTTTAGAATTCATGTATTTTAGAATGCACATTTGATTTCGAATGGATCTTTTTGGCATAATAGTGAAATGTTAATATTAAGTGCAAAATTAGATAAAATCTACCTGCCTTCAGTTTTGCAGTAAAATCAAAACAGAGTGAGAAGGTTATTTATTAATCCTGCATTTCTTCTCACTTTATATCAGCACAGTCTAATGAAACAGAAATAGTGATTAATTCAACACATATTTATCAAACATCTTCTGGTAGATCTATACTTTGCCTAATTGTGCCCATGACCTAACTGAACATTAAAGCTTACCTAAACAAGTCTAGCCAAAACATGGATTGCTATTATGAAGTCACTCTGGGGCAGATGTAGTCAGGGCTGGGATGAGAGCATGCTCTTTATGATGTCTGGTTAAGCATGGTCTGGAGGATGCTCTTTCCTGGATAAAGCCTAACCTTCAGCTTTAAGAAAGGTAGTGGCCAAGAGGGATTAGGGAAGAGTACAGAGGCTTTATCCAATCACGGCTAGGGGGGCGCCTGGGTGGCTCAGTCGGTTAAGTGTCCAACTTCAGCAGGTCATGATCTCACAGTCTGTGAGTTCAAGCCCCGCGTCGGGCTCTGTGCTGACAGCTCAGAGCCTAGAGCCTGCTTCAGATTCTGTGTCTCCCTCTGTCTCTGTCCCTCCCCAGCTCACGCTCTCTCTTTCTCTCAAAAATAAATAAACATTAAAAAAAAAAGTTAAAAAAAAAAAATCATGGCTAAGGACATTCAGATGCCTAGGAACAGATCCAGCTATAATTCATGTACCCTGCTAACTACTCTGTTCCCAAGACTTTCCTATTAGTTTCATATTAAGTTTTCATTTTAATTGTTTTTGGAATGCTCTTCATTCATTCCAACATTACTGGCCAAGAGGTTACTAAGTACATACTACTGTATGGTCTCCTAAATGGAATTTGTAATGACTACTCCCCATCTCTCCACTTAAATTATTTTCTGGAAAATTAAGTGCTGAGTGACACTTTGTGCCTAAAGTCGACAAAGTTAATCTAAAGAAACTGGCAGTTTCCAGATCACATGCTCAGTAATTTACTGAACTTGATGTTACACCTTCCAGGCACTACTCCCCTAGGAGCCCCACATATGAAACCTCATTTAATCCTGACAAAACTGTTTGAGGCTGAATTATCATTTCCGTTTCTTCACTGAGGAAATGGAGGCTCAAAATCAGGTTGTTCAAAGTCCCAGAGCTGTTGGGTGGCCAGGCACGAATTAAAATCAGGTCTTTGTATATAGCCCTGAAAATCATAAACTTATTAACATACTAGGCTCTTCCTTTGTCCTTCCAGAAAAGAACAAGGGTATGAGACTAGAACCTTACCTGGTCTATGTCATGTTGGCTCACTGCAGTCAGACCACTTCTGAAATCCAGGTTGGTTTCTGAAGCGAAGGAATCTAGAGATAAAAGACACAGTCAAAACAGCTTTCCCAGGATGCATCTACTACACCCTGGAAGAATCTGAAGACAATGAACCACAGCGCCACAGAAAACATGGGTCAAGGCTGAGAAATCTATTTCAACTTTCAGTAACTAGAAGCCCCTGGAAAGCATTTCACTTGTCTAGGTCAGGGTCTGCAAGCTTTCCTTCCGTTTCTTTCCCACTAAGGGATCCAATACAAGCTCACCAGTCAAACAGGCTCACTTAATAAAGATCATGGCCCAGGCTGACCCACATCCATTCTTCTAGAAAATTATTTGTGAGCAGGGGACTCTGGAGCTGGCCAGCCCTTAACTGCAAGAAGCTGAAGAGCAGTGTCTTAAGATGTTCATACTGTCCACACAATTTCCCATGAATAGAAGTAAAACACAAGAAATAGCCATGTCTAATAACTAAGTAGCTCTCCATTGCCCAATCCACTCTTAGTAACCTGGAAACAAAAACTAAATAAAAATGTAACTAGGTTTTCACAGCACTGAGATCTATAGGTTTTCAGAATGAAGTTTACCTTGTAGTCTTCTGCTTTTAAATAAGGTTCTGGAGGCAAACAGGGAATCCTGAGAATCGGTGGGCGTGCAATGTAACAAGTAGTACTCCAGATGGCGCCAAAGAATAAATAGGCAGGTCTCTATGATAACTACAGAAGAGAGCTCGGACTAAAGGAAAACAATCTCATCAAACCAGCTGCTGAGGAGGGGAAAAAAGGAGAGACCGTACCACTTAGTGACATACGCACTGCCTCAGTCTAACCGACAGGGGTAAGGGTCTGTTTCCCTAAAAAGCAGCAAGACGTGTTGAGAGGAATGAGGTGGGGGGGGGGGGGGGGGGGGGGGGGGGGGGGGGGCACGTGTGCTGTGCCAGCACAGTCTCCAGTGTCCTTGCTTCCTATTCAGACACAGAGTGACTGTACACATTATCAGGATTACTAGCTACTCTAAAAGATAAGGAAAAATTTTAATTTGGAAATATATCGGGCATTTACGGGAAAAAATCAACAATAATTATGTATGTCCTTTTCCATATGGCTTTGATGCCCAAAAAATGTGAGAATCAGTAAACAGTCTCTACATTTAAAGAATCTTTTAAAGGTCACCATTCCAGTTCCCACTGTGACTTCATTAAGGATACAAGAACAAAGGGAAAGTAGTTTGGCTCGATTGTTGATCAACTTCACCAAACGCCGTCTTGCTAGGACATATTTCTGGGCAGTGGAGATTTTCTCAACACCAACAGGCATCACAGACTGACATAACTGAAAACCAGAAACAAACACAGTATTAGTGATGATGTGAACTGTAACCAAAACTTCATGGAATTCTATACAGAGGGTCACTTGCGATAAGCACTGTGAAAAATGTTTGAAGAAGTTTAAATGTCCTTGCAGACAAGAGCTATTATCTTAGCTAGTTAGGAAGCTAGTAACTTTACAGAAAAACAGAGAGCCAAACCAATTAAATTCACAAATGAAGATTCACGTGCTGCTTTCTGGAAAAGGTCTCATCCCTGAAACAGACATTTCCAATCTGCTGATGGGCCGACCAACCCTCAACTTCCCATCAAGGTAAAACGAGATGAAACAGTAGGTTTTTCAAGCAGTAGGTTTAACACTGCCATGGAGAAGTTCTTTGACAGCTGTCACGTATCTTCTGAAGAAAACGTACAGTGGATTTCTACAGCAGATAGAAAAATATGCTCATCGGCCAGAAACTCCCTTCATCACACCTCTATTTGGCATAAGCACAGAGATGCGATTTACAACCCAGACGCTGGGTTTGGCAGACGGGCTGGGAGGGCGCCACACGCTTCACTGGGAGGCTGCGGGCCCCCTGCGAGGACCCGCACGGCCCATGAGCTGCAATGGGAGGAGGAGGGGCTGTCGGCTGTAAGCCACCCGGTTCCAGGGCTCGCCTGAACCCCACCAATAACTCCTGCCTCGGTACGTGCTAGCTGGGTGGCTTCGGGTAAGTTATTCAAACTTCCAGTGCCTCCATTTCCTCATCTGAGAAAAAAAGGCTCATGTGTTGAGCCAGAACTTGTAGCTCAGGGCCTGGCACATGGTAAACACTCACTCAGTGTTCCCTCTGATCATCAGAAGAGTGGCAAGAAGGGGCAGGCTTGACTACTCTGAAGAGTGACACCGAGTTTTCAGGGGAGTTGGTGCAAACCAGGAATGGCAAATCGGTTCAACACTGAGGCTGCCAAAGGACACCAAGAAGCTCCAGCACTGGGCAAGAGATACCGTGTAGTCCGGCTACTGAGGGAGCAAGCCCGGCAACTCAGCATCTTTAGGTGCAATAAACGTCAGTGAGTGATTCTGGCTCATTGAGAGCAGGCAGTCAAGTCTGATCCGCCATCCCGTTTGTCTGAAAAATTCACTCAACAGATACTGAAGATGCCGAAGGCACAGAGGCATCTTAAGGGATCACTTCCACTGAATAAGCATCTGCAATAGACACCCAAGTTTCTCAGCACAGATTTTAGAGTATAAATTACCAAAACCCTCCTTCAAAGGCCAGCTGCCGTTCTACCGGAGGGCAGGTGGTGTTCTTAAACAAGTGCAGCTTCACTGTATTTCAGTGACGTGTTACTCTGCTTATGAGGCGTGGTGCTAAGGTGACGGGCTCTTCTTAAAGCCACACAGAGGAACCACTTCAAGCCCTTTCGTCTCCCTGCATACATCATCTTTGCTCACAAGTCTGACACCAGTATTCTGGTCCTTGTGAGGAAAAGCAAAGGCTTCTCAGAAATCTCCACAGCTCATGATGAGGTTCATACCTCTTTTATCTCATCAGGTGGAAGTTGCTCTACATTCTGAAGTTTGTTGACACTCCGTCGATGACTGTCGTAATAGCTGAAGAAGTCATTAGCGCTCTGTTTCAGCAGGTAGACAATAATGCCCAAACCGGGCAGGCGCCAATATGGAATCACTGGAGCTTGAGTATCTAATAGAGTTGATAATAAAAAACGATGTTCCATTTATAAGAATTTGATATGAATCTCGAATGACCTGTTTTGGTTTTTTTTTTAATTATTATTTATTTATTTGGGGGGAGGGGGGGCAGAAAGGGACGGAGAGAGAGAATCCCAAGCAGACTCTGTGCTCTCGGTGCAGAACCCAACGCGGGGCTTGATTCCACAAATCATGGGATTATGACCCCAGCCAAAATCAAGATTTGGACATTTAACTGAATGAGTCACCCAGATGCCCCTCAAATCACCTGTTTTAAACAGGATATGCCAAGAATTGAAGGGCATGTAACCTATTATTAAAACCAACCCAAGACTACTTTTTTAAAAAAAATTTTTCAATGGTTATTAATTTATTTTGAGAGAGAGAGAGAGAGAGAGAGTTACCAAGTGAGGTAGGGGCAGAAAGAGAGAGAGAGAGAGGGAGAGAGAGAGAATCCTAAGCAGGCTCTGCGTTGTCAGTGCAGAGCCCAACGAGGGGCTTGAACCCATGAACTGTGAGATCATGACCTAAACCAAAGTCAAGAGTTGGATGCTTAACTGACTGAGCCACCCAGGGGCCCCAACCCAAAACCACTTTTAAATACTTCTGACAGTTCAGAGGAGGGGTTAGGAGCTACTATGATCAGATATGTGCATAAAGTTGAAGACCTGAAGAGAATAAGGAAATCTGGATGATGGGACACTGACAGAACTTTCCCTTTATTGGGGGGAAGACCTCTTTCAGAACCATTAATTATAAACCTTTGCATCCAGCTTCTCCCCCCGCCCCCGCCATGAACACGCAGACGCAAGCCTCACACACAAGTCTGGAGTTTCCTGGCCCCAGGCGAATAATTCCCGCTTTACCCTACAGCTCTAGATATGTGGATTCACTTCTGGTCTGCATCTTTCTGGTTGCTGAATTCCCAGCTCAAAGTCATTCTTCCCAAGAGAAGGAGAACACTAACTGAGATATTCAAATAATATAATGAAATTTAAACTTCAACAACTCTCTTAGCACCGTATGTCCTTTTGGGTAAGGAAACAAAATGATCTGCCTTTTACCTGACTAGCTTCTGATGAAGGTACAAAGGAACAATGGGATGTCGGGAAAGTCTTCTGCAAAGGGAAGAGCTGGCAGGACTGGCGCAAGTGGAGCAACTTCCCCTTTGATTGAGGGATTTCTTGAGAAACACCTTAGTAATTTCGAATTCAATTCGGAGATAATCTTTGTTCAGTGGCTCTAACTGCCACGAATACTGCAGGGAGATGTGCATTGGCTTCCTTCTCCACTGTCTCCCTTAACTTGGCTCCTAAGTCACATTTCACAGGTCTTCGTGAAGAGTGGAAGCGAGAAAACAGTTCCTTGTCAGCGGATGTTGCCACCAACCAGGACATCCTGGACTCACATCAGTTGCCAGGTTTCCCTTTCTAGTCCTCAGTGAAGATGTGACGGTCTCTATGATACAGAGCCTTCTGCTGGTGAAATTAGGTACTCTGGGGCCCAGGAACGTCTGTATCATTATCTAGTCTGGCAGGAACACATCCAGAAAGAGAATGGTCCAATGCTGACAGTACTCTGGCACACATCAGGGGTTCTCACACGCTAACCTGCTCAAGTCTAGAAAGTATTCAGGTGTGCAGAAGCTACCAGACTTAGCTTCATGGGGGCTGCTCACAAAAGAGATGACTACAGAAAGCAGATTCTGCAGGACAGATCACCAGGTCCAGGGAGTAGAAGTGCTATAGGAAAGGGCCCTGGACCACAAGTAATAGTACATATACTAAATGATAGACAATAATGACAACAGCAATAATGAAAATAATAAGAGCTAACATTTAGGCAGTGCTAAGGACCAGACACTGTTCTAAAGCATTTCACAGATATTAACACATTTAATCCTTATACTAAAAATTAGGAGCTTGTTATTACTCCCATTTTACAGATGAGGAAACTGAGGCACAGAGAGGGTTAAATAATTTTTCTGAAGTCATATGAATAGTCACTTAGAGAATTGGGATTCAGGTCTAGGCAGTTCATCATCGGTCTATATTCTTAACTGCTAAGGTTAAGCTACTTCTCTACAACTAAATATTCTTGAACTTACTACATACCTACCCATGCCATGTCTACAATTGGCAAAGGTATGTATGCTTATTAAATCTTTAAAAAGTCTGAGGAAAAATAAAAACCAATATATAAGCCTTCATAAAGTTCATCATTAAGTATTAAAGATCAAAGAATGATCCAGTATGGGAAAGATGTGCTCAAAGTGAGAAGAAGCTAAATGAAATTTTAATAATTACTAATGATACATTATTAGCATATGATTGTTTTCGGAGAATAAATGACAAAACTACAATTTCATTTAAAAATATTTAAAAAAAATTTTTTAATGTTTATTGTTTTTGAGAGAGAGAGAGAGAGAGAGCATAAGCTAGGGGGGAAAGAGGGCAGGAGGGAGGGGAAGGGGGAAGGAGAGGGAGAGAGATTGAGGCAGAATCCCAAGCAGGCTCCATGCTGTCAGCAGAGAGCCTGATGCAGGGGTCAAACCCACGAACTGTGAGATCATGACCTGAGCCGAAGTTAGACGCTTAACCAACTGAGCCACCCAGGTGTCCATCACTCGAAAATGTTATGATCAGGTCAAGTTTGTATGAAAATGTGTGATTCAAGGGAGAAGAAAAGGGCCCCCCTGGTCACTTTATAATAGAGTTACACAAATAGAGTCAGTTCTTGGCACCAGTTACATGAGACAGTGGTTATATATTGTTAAACTAATATATTTTTCATAACATCATTCTATTAAGTATTTTAAGTGATTAAGTAATTTCCAGGGAAAATAAGATCTTGAAGGAGATAAAAATGTGACAAAGTGATTTTCAGAAACCTCACACAAAGAGCTTCCGGAAATCAGAAGCAGTCCATTCCATTACCACCATTGAGATCAGAATGGGTTTTGGCTTCTGAGTGGCCCATGGGATAACCACTTCAATCAACCCTTAGCCCTCACATTCCAGATCTTGCCGACTGTGTCATTAGGAAATCATGGGCTATGTCAGCTCACTTAGCATCTACATTTTAATTTGCTATGGTACAGAAACCTGGAGCTATAATACAGGACCCAATTTAGACATGCATTCAGCTTAACATGATTTCACATCTAAACTGTTACATTTTCACATTTTTCACCCGACTAGCTTAATCACCAATCCTAGATCCTTTCTTTGGCGTCTCAGATACTATTCAAAACCACACTCTCCCCACAAGGCTCTTCTATTTAGAAATTTATCCTCAGAAAATCTTGAATTTCTCTGTCCTCTCCAGCTCTCTAGACTATCCACAAGACGAACAACGCCAACTCCTTACCGCTCCTTAAAGTCATTTACAAACTTTCCCACTAATGACACATAAAGAAAACACTGCATCTCACTGGAGCCAACTAGAGCCTGTCTTAATCACAGCAACTTAATACTCAAATACAGAAGGAAACGACTCGGCTCACCTTGCCGGGGTCCATCTCTATTAATGGTTTCTGACAGGCTCGGGGTGAAGAGGCACATAGCATGCTGAAAGGTGGGGGAGCTCTGTAACAGGAGTGACTGGCAATATTCCATGACATTGGCACAGATCTACAATGGAAGAGTAACAGTGACAAAAATATTAGTTCCCCAAATGCCCAATATCAGGGAACTCCAGAGCTGAGGGAAAACAAAGCTAGTGATCAATCTGTAAAATTACAACAAAGCTGTAAATCAATCTGTAAAACCACTCACATCTGTTGTTTTCATCACGCTTCCAAAAAACACACAGCTGTTCAAGAACGGATACACAACGCTCACTCCTCTTACCTGCTGCATGGCCAGTTCAAGCTCATCTTTCTTGCTCACTCTATCTCCCTCCACATTATCATCTTGAAATTTAAACTGACGCAGTCTGTCAGAGCCCCCAAAGCGGCTCAGGAGTCCTAAGCACTGGCGCTAAGAAAGAGAAAGATACTTTGTTCAGAGCCAATCCGTACGTGTAAAATCAGCTACCCCTCTTTGAGGGATACAAAAAAGAAGAACTCACCGGGGAGTGGAATCACTCTCTAAAGCATCTGATTTCTTACCTCCAACTGAGGCACTGAAGTTAGCACTATTAAAATTCACCTTTTTGCAAATGTATCTGCTTGGCAGTCAACTCATTAAAAGAACATCTTTTTTTTTTTTTTTAGCAGTTAATCCCCATTACATTGTAAACATTAGAGAATATTCTGTATCACACCAAATAATTCCTCGGTAGATACCAATTAAATAAACACAAGTTGATAAATAATGAGAAGCAAAATGAGATGGCAAACAGAAGACAGTTTGTAACAAGCATGTCCGTGATAACGTTGTCTATGAATGCTCAAGTTTAAAGGCTATTTCTCCTATAGCCACCTCTGGGGACTTCGTAAAGGGGCTGAGAACACACAGGTACCCTTGGCAGATAAAATGAAGATGTCCTCTCCTTGAAATGTTGCTACTTTTCACCCGACAATACCATTTTTCCTAAGGTTCTTAGAGGGAAGGACAAGATTTTCAAAATTGGTAATACGCCTATCTAGTGATTGCAATCAGAGATGTGGGTTTCCATAGCAGGTACGTGACTTCTTGCTATGTGATCTACAACAAGTTACTTAACTTCCAGAAGCCTCAATGCTCACATTCTTAGGAAAATAGCGATTCCCACCTTACTTGTTGTCAGGATTACCTGAGACAAAGAACTGTATTTACAGTGCTTAGTCTATAGTGCTCTGCACATAATAAATGGACATTAAAAACATGCACTTTAAAAACTGGTATCACACACACCTACATTCATATACAGACATACACAGATATATAGTAGCTTATGTAAACTGATGTTAGTTTACATAAGACTGGATAAGGCAAAACATATCGAAAAGATTACAATATAAGTTTATTTTGCCAAAACAGTTATATCTATTTTTAAGAGATCACCTGCCGTTTGCTACCCTTACAGACAAAACAAATGCACTAAAACATTTCTTTCACCTTATGAAAGACTCATCAAAAATGTCTTTTTCTCCCTACCAATGAAAAACATTAGATGACGAAAGAAAGAAAGAAAGAAAGAAAGAAAGAAAGAAAGAAAGAAAGAAAGAAAGGAAGGAAGGAAGGAAGGAAGGAAGGAAGGAAGGAAGGAGTATTTGGGCATTGCTGGTGAGAGTACCATCCTTTCTGGAGTGCTGTTTGATAATGACTCAACATGTACTGTGTGTGCACCCTTGGACCCAGTGATACCAGTTATTGCTATCTAATCTCTAGTTCAAAAATTTGTACCCAAAAATGCTGATAGCGGCAGTTTTCTTTTGGAAACTTGAAAAAACAGTTCATGAAAAGAGGATTGGTTGGTTAAGAAAATTACTATATCAAAAACAATGAAATATAAATTCTAGTATATAAATATAATTACTCTGCAGCCAATCAAAAACGAAGATGTCCGGATCAAAGCAGGCCAGGAGGCTCCCAGAAAGACTGTGATAAATATCTAGTTGATAAGCTATCTAATATGCTTGAATATATTAAAGGAGATCACACAACTGGAAGAGAGCTTAGAAATAAACACATAAAAACCAAGCAAATAAAAAAAGAAATAATTATTCACTCTAGGGAAAACATAATGTTGTGCCCAAAAGTAACCTATCACCCATTCTTATTCAAATACTACATTTACATAATAATAACAGCATAACACTAAGTACTGATCTAATCAAATTCATAATTATATTGAGTTTCGGCAGTGGGTGGAGGGGTGTTGTGACAAGTGTCCATACTGTATGGTGGAAGAAAAGGAAAAAAGGGATCCTAAGTTCTCACCCTTCTCAATGGAAAATCAATAGATGATTCCGAAAATTCAAAAATAAGCATATTTATTTAGAGATAATAGATTAAAAACCATTGAGAGGGTTTGCCCAAATCCAGGAAACAGAACAGGGAGGATGGATAAGAGGGCTGTTGTATTTTGTTGTCTTACAGTACTACTCTTTAAAGAAGTAAGAGTCGGTTACCTGGAATCTTCCAATATGTCCCTGTAGCTCCATTAGAGATCCTTCATTTGCATCAATATCAAGTTCACTTAATATACCTGATAAAATTTGGAATGCTTTTAAATACAGTTTTAAAGTCAACAAAATAAAAACATTTAAAAACTAGGAAGAACGATTCGAGTATTTTATATTCTTTATGTACAAGAAAAGACACAGACTTGCCACAAAGGAGTTCTGGGAAATACAACTTCACAAAGACTATAAGCACACCACTACATGTTCGCTCAAATGCAATCTAAATCTAGACTGAATTTGTGATTTCAAAAGGCACTTTTTAAAGTTTTTGAGATAAATCTACTTTTTATTTATAACCATAAAAGTTAAAAATGTTCTAAACTCAGAAGTAAATTACTCTCTCCTGCTGAAAGAGTTTAGGATATAAAACACTAAAAATGAAATGTATTTTTTTCTTCTAGGTACTGTATCATCTGATTTTTTTTTTCCTTTTCCCCTCAGGCAAAGTAGAGTTTGCACGTACACACAAAAGTTCCCATTAAACTTCTGTTTAGACTTATTACAGAATTCTTCAATCAAGTTCATCAGTCTTACGGTACCGGGACGAACACCCTTTACTTCCATCGCGTTCTCCAGGTAAACACGCAGCTCACTCACTCTGCTGGTTTCTTCCTTTCCTCCGTGGCTGTACTCATGCTCATGACCCACCTGAACCGGTCCTAGCCACCCTTTGTTGTCACAATCTCCTTAATTCAGTCCTTACCTCCAAGCATACGCTCTAGTATGCTAGTTTGCTCCTTACAGTAACAAGACCCCCTCTTTCTAGATTTGTCAGCCCACGACCTCACATGCTGGCTTGCTGTGCCGCACCTGTGCCTCTTTACTCCACTAGATCCCATCCCTTCCCTTCTCCACCTCCTCTGGGAGTTTGCTCTGAGGATCACTTTTCCAGCTTATCCAAATCTACCCTGCCACAGAAGATTTTTCCCTATTTGAAAACACGTTCAGGTCTCCCTTGTACTCCAAAAAATAAAACCCCCAAATAAGCGAAAATATGGTTAATACCAAATTCTTGAAATATTTTGTCCACATTTGCTGCTTGTATTTTTAAACCCTCTTTCCCATCCTACCCCTTAAAGCTGGACCTTGTACCTAACACCACCATGAAATGTGGGCCTTTTCCTCTCTGTTCTCAAGTTTCCTGATTTCTGCAACATGTATTGCTATTCCCCAGTTCCTTTTTTCCACCTGCTGCCTCTCTTTAAAAGACTACTTGGGAGGCACCTGACTGGCTCAGTCAGTGGAAGATGTGACTCTTGATCTCAGGGTTGTAAGTTCAAGCCCCATGTTGGGTGTAGAGATTACTTAAAAACAGAATCTTAAAAAAAAAAAAAAAAAAAAAAAAAAAAAGACTACCAATTCTGTTTGTGTAAGATGCTCTCAGTTTCTATAAGATGCTTCTGCTAAGTGCCGAATGAGTACTCGGTGTACCATTTACATTGGTCTCAACTCCAAAACACTTTCCAGAATATTTGGGGGTCATAGAAAAAAAAATTAGCCTTTTGGTCAGTATTTGAGGAGGTATGACATAACTGGTATGAGGCTAGGCAATATGGGGGACACAGTTATAAATGGGCTTAAAATTTAATGTGAGAATTTAAGATAAAAAATATATATAGTAAAATTACAGGAGAATACAAAACAGTATGTCCTCAAAGGCTAAACTGTGCAGAGTGGGGTTGATAGGAGTGAAAACTGTTACAAGTTTGTCTGAAAATTTTGGGAGGGTGTTTGTCATTATCTTCAGAAGAAAAATTTAAGTGTTTTTATTTTCTGGCCAACGACTGCCAGGCATTTATCAAGCCTACCAGCTCAAATCTACAAAAATGCCTATATATACACATAGACACACATACACAGACATACATACACAGTTATTAAATGCAACACTGTTGGAAATTTTTTAAAAAGCTTGGAAACAGTAAACATGTTACAGGTGTCTGGTTAAAGAACAAAGACCTGGTTAACTCTCGCCACTGGAAAATGATACCCAATTTAAAAGAATGAGGTAGGAGCTCTATGGGATGAGGGAAAAGATCTCCAAGACAAACTGGAAAAAAGAAGTTACTTACTTACATAGCAGTGCGTATCATCTGATTTCACTTGTGTAGGGAGGGGACAATTTGACGCCATATGCAGAGAAACTTCTCAAAACAATAAGCTAAGTTGACACCTAATTCCTTTTAGAGAACGAGAACTGCTGGTCGCTGTTCCCTAAACCACTTTAGACAGCCGCTGCACCACTTGTACTTTTCTTTTGTTGGAATTTATCACGAGCCTGTGAAACTGCTGGGGCACCTGGGTGGCTCAGGTGGTCGGTCATCCAACTCCTGATTCAACTCGGGTCGTGATCTCGTGGTCATGCGATCAAGTCCTGCTTCGGGCTCTGTGCTAACTGGAAGGAGCCTGTTCGGGATTCTCTCTCTCCCTCTCTCTCTGCCCCTCTCTGCTTGTACTTGCTCCCTCCCTCTCTCACTCTCAATAAACAAACAAAAAAACATTAATAAGATAAAATAAAGTGCTTTTCTTAATACAATCTTAATACGATGACAGGGTCAAATGATGCTATTAGCAAAATATAGAAAATTTAGACATTTAAAAATAAAGTTACTGACAGAAGACTTCATGAATAAAACCACCTTGTCAGAGAGGATTTGATAAAAGGTAAATTCTCTTGATACCTAACTCAGCACTTCTAGGCTAAGATGGCGGAATGAAGGAGCATCATAGAATGTCCCTCCTGTCATCAACGTACAAAATGAACAAAATTCAGCACAAGGGGGTGGGGGAAGAATTATGCCATAAATAGTGAAAAATGGTGATGGCAAAGAAAAAAAACTAGAGAAAATTCTGAAGTAAGCAGCACGATTCAGCCCATGGCCCTTATTCCACTCCCCAGAAGCAATGTCAAAAAAAAAAGAAGATTAAACCAAAAACATTTGCAAATTCTCATGGACACTCTTCAATTTGCAGAGAAGCCTTTTACAGTACTTAGGTAAGGCCCCGGGGAAACCAAGGGCAAAACGGTTAGGAGAACCACTACAAAGCACCGTGGGACCTCAGCAGAGGCAGAAGGATGGCCTGACCTGGTATCATTGAAAGACACTGGCATGAGTGGGGAATGAGCACGACAAGCGCACGGCACTGGGACACACCGTGACTGGGCAGAGTGGAAGCCGGGCTCTCCTCAGAATAAGCACAGGCCTAAGTGCTTCCACAGGCACTGCACTCTGCCCAGCCAAACCCGCTCCCTCTCCCAATACCACGGGCTCAAACACTGACACCCCTTAGAGAGGAAAACATATCGGTGGTGGGGTAGAATCCTGGGCTGGCCTCAGCCTTCTCCATAGCAACATAAAGTGGAGATAGTGTAGCCTACTAGTTAACTGCACAGGCTCAGAAGCCATATTGGCCGGGAAACTACACCAGCAGTATTATCTATGTGACTTTGGACAGGGTAACCTCTCTGTGCCTCAGTTTTCTCACCTGTAAAATGTGGAAAACAGTTCTACCTCCTAAGACCCTTGTGAGAATTAAATAAATATGCTAAGTGTTTAAAGAAATAGTACTTGGCACATTATACTTAATAAATGCAAGCTGTTATCATTAATATTATAAGTTCTGAGGGAAAGAATCATAATCAGCCATGCCATCTTTCACGAAAAGAGGCAACCTGTATTTTAAAAAAAATTTTTTTTAATGTGTATTTATTTTTGAGAGAGACAGAGACAGAGACAGAGCATGAGTGAGGGAGGGGGGCAGAGAGAGAGGGAGACACAGAATCTGAAGCAGGCTCCAGGCTCTGAGCTGTCAGCACAGAGCCTGATGTGGGGCTCGAACCCATGTGAAATCATGACCTGAGCTGAAGTCAGATGCTTAACCAACTGAGCCACCCAGGTGCCTCCCCTTTATTTAAAAATTTTTTCTTAATGTTTACTTATTTTTGAGAGAGAGACAGAGCATGGGGATGGGGGGCAGAGAAAGGGAGAAAAAGAGGCAACTTTTATCTTTAAAAAAATTTTTTTTTAATATTTATTTTTGAGAGAGAGAGCGGCGAGAGAACGAGTGAGCATGAGCGAGGAAGGGGCAGAGAGAGAGGGAGGCACAGAATCTGAAGCAGGCTCCAGGCTCTGAGCTGTCAGCACAGAGCCTGACGTTGGGCTCGAACCCATGAGCTGTGAAATCATGACCTGAGCTGAAGTCGGACACTTAACCAACTGAGCCACCCAGGTGCCTCCCCTTTTTTTAAAAAAATTTTTTAATGTTTATTTATTTTTTGAGAGAGAGAGAGAGAGAGAGAGAGAGAGAGAGAGAGAGAGAGAGAGACAGAGCATGAGCAAGGGAGGGGCAGAGAGAGAAGGAGAAAAAGAGGCAACCTTTAGATGCTGATAAACATTAGAAAATTCAGGGACTACAATATACTTTTTCTTGGGGGAAAGGACCTCAATACAAATTAAAAATACCAAGAGATAAATCGAAAGAAAGAACTAAGAACAGTGAAGCTATGGGGAAAAAAAAAACAATGGTGTGTTTCAGTGAATGCACGTAAATATACAAATAAAACTGAACAGCTGAAGGTTTCACGGGTACAGGTCTGAATGTAAATAAAATCTGACAAAGTAAAAATAATATAGGCAAAGATAATCTGAAGGTGGAAAAAGAAGTATAAAAGAACTCATGATTTCAGTCTTCCATACTATAGGAGTTAATTGATTCTGTCTAAAATATACAGGTGGTAAGGAAATTCAAAGAAAAAAAATAACCAAATAGCTTAATAATGTTTCATAATCTTTTTTTCCTTCTTCATCACAGTGATCATTTAAGAACTAACAGCTCTTGTAATCTTGTAGTAAAAAAAAAAAAAACATTTGTCTGGAATTCAACAAGGTCTTCAGTTTTTCTTTCAATTAATTTCTTTTTCTTTTGAGAGAGAAGGGGAGAGAAAGAGAGAGAAAGAGGGAGAGATAGGGGGAGGGACAGAGAAAGAAGGAGAGAGAGAATCCCAAGCAGACTGCACTGTCGGCACAGGGCCTGAAATGGGGCTCAATCTCATGAATCACGAGATCACGACCTGAGTCAAGATCAAGAGTCAGATGGGGCGCCTGGGTGGCGCAGTCGGTTGAGCGTCCGACTTCAGCCAGGTCACGATCTTGCGGTCCGTGAGTTCGAGCCCCGCGTCAGGCTCTGGGCTGATGGCTCAGAGCCTGGAGCCTGTTTCCGATTCTGTGTCTCCCTCTCTCTCTGCCCCTCCCCCGTTCATGCTCTGTCTCTCTCTGTCGCAAAAATAAATAAACGTTGAAAAAAAAAATAAAAAAAATAAATAAAAAAAAAGATCAAGAGTCAGATGCTTAGCCAACTGAGCCACCCAGGTGTTCCTCTCTTCAATTAATTTCTTAATCTGTTAAACTCACGTAAAATTAAATAGTTTTCTAACAATGCACGTGAAAAACAATGTCATTCTCGTAAGTTATCTCTGTGTGCCTCCGTCCCTGTCTCGTGTACATACATATAAAACAACGTTTGAAAGGCTCGCTTCAGCAGCATATATACTAAAAAAAACACTTGGTAAATTCTAGGCAGTGAGGTTTTGAGTAGTCATTATTTTCTTGAACTCTGAATTTTTGTATGATATATCACTCTTATAAATAAAAACTTACTAATTAAAAAAAAAAGCAGTTAACGGTTAGGACCAATTTCAAGTAAGTCCTACGTATCGCAAAGCCATAAAAACCTCATTCTATTAAGCGTAGAATTTCAAAGTCCATCCAACATAATCGACTCACCAGGAAGTGCGGCTTTACTTATAATTCCTGTCAGTAGAGCCAGTTCCTGCAGGGACCCAGCGCTCACGTCCTGGCAGCGCAGGATTGCTTGGATGGTATCAGAATGCGAAATGAGAAACTGCAACACCTGAGCCAAGGAGAAGGGAGAGAAATGGAAAAAACAGAGGTCAACAGGATAAAATTGTATTATGAATTTACAATTCATCTTTTTTTAGTAACGCTGAAGCCAGAAATTCAATGTCATGAATCACAATGAACGTAATATAAGAATCGTCTTTTGCATTTATGTGGCTTATTTCTTCAAGAAGCAAGTATTTACCTAAAATTCACAAGAAAGATCATTTCAAAGTTTAGAAATTACTGTATTTAGAGGCTACGGTTGAAAAGTATAACTTAGAACTACTGTATGAATACTGTTACTTAACTCTCAGTTTCTTTTATTTTTGTCCAAGTGGAACTAGAACAGGAGTTTAAAATAAATGGATATAAAAATGACTTACTGAATTTAAGTTGCTCTATAAAAATCTGATTGGCCTGACATGGGGACAATCACATAAAAAGCTTTTGTTAAATTCTCCTTTTGATATGGTAAATACAAATGAGAGAAAAACCCTGCCCTCTAAACTGCGCCCTTCCACACTGGCATTTTCCAGCCTACCATCATGGACTCTAGTTTCACACGGGATGTCTCCTCAACTCGATTAAACGCCTTGAAGGCTGAGCCTCTATGCCAAAACAAGCCAAACATCTGAATCACTCAGCAACTGTGTCCCTTTTTAGGTTTTAATTCAGATTCCTGGCCTTAGCCCATAACTGCTGGATGTGGTGCTCCGTCATCTGTGTTTTTAAAACAAGCTCCTTGGGGGATTCTGCGATAGCCAGTGCAAGAGTGGCATTAGAGAATCTTATATCATCACAGCGTCCCACTTGGAATAAAAAAAAAAATCTTAATCTCAATAAAAGAGAAGACAGGGGAAGTCTCTGAGTTTTAAAGAACTGACCCAAAGGCCACATATGAAAGGGGTAAGATGTACTAATGCGTATAAAACAAGATGTCGAGGCGCCTGTGTGGCTCAGTCGGTTGAGTGTCTGACTTTTGATATTAGCTCAGGTCATGATCCCAGGGTTGTGGGATCAAGTCTCACATTGGGCTGCACACTGAGCATGGAGACTGCTTAGGATTCTCTCTCTCTCTCACCCCCTCTGCCCCTCCCCGACTCGCGTGCTCTCTCTCTAAAAAAAGGGAAAAAAGAAAAAACCGGGTGCCTAGGTGGCTCAGTCTGTTAAGCGCCCACCTTCGGCTCAGGTAATGATCTCATGGTTCTTGGGTTTGAGACCCGCACCAGGCTCTGCACTGACAACATGGAGCATGCTTGGGATTCTCTCTCTCTCCTTTTCTTTCTGCCCCTACCCCACTCAGGGGCGCACTCACGGGTGTGCACACAAGCACACTCTCTCAAGATAAATAAACTTAAAAAATTTAAAAAAATACATAAACAAAACAAAACAAAACAAAACACGGTGCTATGTTAGAAACAGCAGCATTCTACCCTGGTGACATAAGCCTGGAGACTGAAGACAGGGAAAGCACATAACATTACCATGAAGTATTGGGACACAGTTCTGGAGGGTGTTGCAATAATAGAGCAAAACAATAAAGACTCCAGAGTCATAATGATAAGTCTAATCGGTGAATGGCTAGATTATATATTGTATTATTAGTTTAAAGAGACAAAGATTTCTTTTTTTGAAGGTTTCAACTGAAAAGAGAGGAAAATAAAACGAATTTCTGGTGCTCAATGAAAAAAATTTTAGAAAATTCACTTACTTCAATTACTTCGTTCTCTAAATATCACAATTAAATGTGCCATTATCATCTATCCTTTATACTTTCTGCAAGGCCTAACATAGTGTATGGCCTCTTGCTAAATCCGTGGTTAAACCACATTTTAGAAGCAGCTTATTCCTATCATCATAACCACTTCCCTTTACAGAAGAACACATTTTGAGCTCTTGCTTTCCATCTCACTATTCCATTCTTCACTGTGGGGTTTCATTCAAATAAGAGTATATGTAAGAATGGTCTGGTGAAGTTCACACAAGGTACCAGGGGGCTGGCTATCAGTGCCCGGGTCTGCCACAGTGGACGGTAAACCCATGGACGCTGTCTATGCCTAGGGTTTCTGCAACTCTAAAACGCAGCCCCTGCACCAGACGACCTCCAGGCCAATGACTCTTCTTACCTGGCCTGCTGCCTGCAAGTGCTGGGCCGTGCTGGACGTGAGGATGACCTGGCACAAGCGGAGAGCCGGGAGCAGAATCTGCCGGTAGCGGTCCACGGGGGCAGGGATGAAAACTGGCGGGTCTCTCATGCCAAACATGCTTCATTCATTTCCACCCAACAAGGAGAGAGCGACAGTCCAAGAGTTAAGGGACGCTAACAGTTCCTGCCCATCTCCATGGCAAACAATCACAGGTGCCTGATTAAGATGTGAAGCTACTAATGAGAATTCTCCATCTCATATAGACAGTAAAAAAGGAGTTATTTCAATTATGAAAAAACTCAGTAAATAAAATCTGCATAATTTGAAGACAATGCTTGGAATTTCCTAAACATATTTATTCTACTCTGAAAGCTCCCTTGGGCCATAGAAACTATAAGCAAGAAACAAATAAAAACAAGTTATTTTCCCAAGTTTCCCCCTCCTATACCCACAGCCAAAAATGAATCTACTTTGCCCATTAGATTTAAAAAATCAAGACTTTAAAAAGTTAAAACGAAGTTGTAAAATCACTTAACTTAAAAAAAATTTTTTTTTAATGTTTATTCATTTTGAAGGAGAGACAGAGCATGAGCAGGGGGAGGGAGAGCGAGAGCGAGTGAGAGAGACAGACAGACACACACACACACACACACACACACACACACACACACACACACACAGAATCTGAAGTAGGCTCCAGACTCTGATGGGGGCTCAAACTCATGAACCATGAGATCATGACCTGAGCTGAAGTCAGATGCTTAACCCACTGAGCCACCCAGGTGCTCCTAATATCACTGAACTTTTAAGATTAGGTATTAATAAAATATTATTTATTATAAATATTTAAATTTTTAGACAAAAGAAAATGGTTGCCAAATGAAGAAAATGGACACAAAACACAGAAATAAATAAGAGAAAAGCTTTGCACAGACAAGTGATTATATGCCAAGATCCAAGGAATGTAATTAACTCAATCCTCTTTACCTAAGGCGAAAATAATAGCTGTCATGTTTAAAACTTCATAAAACAAAACAACAACAAAAAAAACCCTACATTTGTTTTCTGGAGGTAAAACAGTTCTATAGTTAATCCTAGAAAAACTCAAATATTCAATTTGGCAACGGGCTTATGAAGAAAATTAGTAAAACGGTGTTATTTACTTCCAAGAGGATAGGCTAACAATGCTGCAGCCAGTAGACAAAAATGAATTACAAAAACAAAAACAAAAACAAAAAAACCCAAAACTCATATTCAAACTGAACCAAGAAATCTGTTAAGAAGCTTGAAACTTAAAATAATTTGACTAAAAGCTTTCAAATGTACAAGCAGTTGGCAAAACGCTACAAAAAGAAAAATATAAAATACTATTCAAGTCATCAGGAATAAGAAATCCACAACAAATTATAATTTCACTATAATACTTTAAAGGACCAGTATAACTAAAAATATATATTCTATTGAACAGAACACTAAAGTTGGGAAGAAAACCATTTACTAACAAAACGCTTTCCTATTTCCCTATTACTGCTCTAAAATGGAAAGCATTAGGTCCCTCCTACTCTTACCCTTATTAGCAACTTCCATTTACTAGTAAAAGGCAGGGATGTAGGACCAAAATTAAAGTTATCAAGGTGAAAGAGTACTGCTCAAACAGAATGATAAACCAATGGCGAAGATTTCGTTTGGAATTTCTTTTTCCTCGCTAATCCTTTACAATGAAGGAACAGTACGGAAACAATACCAGCGTATACGGACACTTACCCCTGCGGGTCCATCTCTGGGCGCATGTCATAGACCTGGCACTGCGCCAGTCGCACTATCACCCCAGACCTCAGCAGCTCTAAAGCGCCCTGCTGTATCTTGGCCACTCTTGTAAGAAATGCCTAAGAAGTTACAAAAGGAAAAGCATCAATACAGAAATCATATCCAAGGGCCTCAGATAAAAATGAGACTCTCTCACAGCATATTTCTGATCTCTCATCACACTGAAGAGAAATTCCGAGCTAGCTCTGCGGGGCACGTTATACACGGGATCTCCGAGGATTAAACACAGCATATCTGAGGTGTCACAGTACAGTGCCTTGCAAGAAACAGTATTCAACTCAACTGTAGTTCTACTTATCATCATGCGGGCATATGGTGGGGGGGGGGGGAGATGGTTTTGCTCATAGCTGTATCTCTAGCACCTACTGCCACACCTGGCATATAATAGGTATTTAATAAACACTTGTTGAATAAATAAAGGAGGGGGGAGCTAATAACGGGTCCAAGACTTTAGTGCTTCCATTATTGTGACTCTGTAGTATTCTCAACCAGGAGGAAACAGAGAAAAGAAATCTGAAGGAAAGGAAATGATGCATTATATATGGTATTGAAAATCTCGTGTTTAAACTAGAACCAGCACAGCTACATTGGAATGTTCCACAGGCAGCTAATACAGTCTGAATTCTGTGGCGAAGAGACAATTTTGCTTACTGCTCTCCTCAGAGCACTCAGCGTCCCATTATTCCCCATCATCAGCAACCTGAATGAGGAGCAAGCAGTTCCATTACCCGGCTAACCCTCTCGGGATCACTTCAACTCATCTTTGGCATGCTTTGAAGCTACATTTCTAACACATGTTCCAAATTTAAAACTCTTTGAAATGATTATAGCTTACATGACAGAAATACTAAAAATGTCGGCCACATTAACGTTCTTTGATACATCTACTGCTCTAAGAGGAAGTGAGCGGTTGATCTAACTTCAAATGAATACAAAGTCTTACCATTTTGGATTCGTAAGTATAAAGGGCTTTTAAGAGGGGAGGTTGTGGCGTTAATAAGCTCTGCAAAGTATGGTCATCTTCTACCAAGCTGTCCACGAGCACCTTCAAGTAGCCACTGTTAGAAAGATACAAGAGCCACTGCTGCTGTTTATCTACGGAGACGATCCGATCAAGTAGAGCCAGTGCCAGCATCTGAAGAAGAACAAATCAAAGCCCAAAACATGGAGATGGCTACCAAAACCAAGGACAGAAACTCCCTTGATATGAAAATATTTAGAGCTTTTCTTACAAGGGAAATGGTAGCTTGCAATTACATTTTATTTTGGTGGTTTTTTTTTTTTTTTTGAGAAACTTGAAAGCTATGTATACAGAATCTTGATTTATTAATAAAAGGAGAAAAGAGACTTGTTAAAAATAGCTTTTTCCCCTAATTGTGAGGTATTACATGCACATTACAGGAAACCTAGAAAACACAGAAAAGCATATAGAATATATGTGGCCTGATAAACACTGCTACTCCATTTTGGCCTCTCTCCTCTTCAGTCCTTTTTCTATGCATAACAACACTTAAACTGTTTTGTTTTGTTTTGAACATAAGAACTTACTACACAGTTTATATTCATCCTATTTCTTAAAGGCCTGTTTCCCACCATCTTCAAATACGTCTGACCCCTGAACAACACGGGGGTTAGGAGCACAGGTGAAAATCCATGTATAACTTTTTGATTCCCCACAACCTTATAATTACTAAGAGCCTACTGCTGACCAGAAGCCTGGTGGATACATAAATAGTTGATTAACACATATTTTTTATCTTATATGTATTACATACTGTATTCTTCCAATTAAGTAAGCTAGAGAAAAAAAAATGTTCAAAAAAGAGAAAATACATTTACAGTTCTGTACTGTATCTGTCAAAACAAATCTGCACAGTAAGTGGACCCACGCAGTTTAAACCCATGTTGTTTAAGGATCAGCTGTATATGATTCAAATACTATGAAACTCTTCATTAGCAGGAAGTTATCTTCTCATTGTATTATCACCAGTGTGGTATAGTATTTTAAAGAATTATAAATGCAAATTCCCCTCCACAAAGCAAAGAAAGACATATTCAGTATAAAACCTGTGTACCCAGTATACTCTTAACCAAAGATCTTTATTAAGCAGCATTTCTACCAGTGTAAGGCTAACCTCACAATCAGCAGAAAGATTATGCTGAGGGAAAATTCTGAACTGAGATTCTGAACAGAAATAAAGAAAACATATGAATAAATAAAATAGAAATTCCAAATTATAACAAATAAGAAAATTCAGTAGGGGCGCCTGGGTGACTCAGTTGGTTAAAGCATCTGATCTCAGCTCAGGTCATGATCTGGTGGTTTGTGAGTTTGAGCCCCGCGTCGGCTCTGTGCTGACAGCTCAGAGCCTTGAGCCTGCTTTGGATTCTGTGACTCCCTCTCTGTCTGCCCGTCCTCTCTCTTTCTCTCTCTCTCTCAAAAAATAAACATTAAAAACAATTCACTAAAATATATTGCAGACAATAATTCTCAATATATAACATGCATTTGCAAAGTTAATTCAGTTTATACCTTAATAAGTCAAAATATTTATTCAATTGTTATACTAAACAGGAGTTACTGTACCCTTCCAATCTCATGGCCATCACAAGCATCTCGACAGACCACTTCCATGAGGGCAGCACCGTAGCTCTCAATGATGGCTATGTTTTCTCGTTGTAATTTACTAAATACATCTTCAGGGGCTGTCAGCCTTTCCCACATGGTTTTCTTGGCTAAAAGGGTTACAACAGAAAATATTAAAACACCCCAATAAAGAACAGTGTGATGACTGAGCAATTACACTTCATATAGAACAAGAAAAAAAAATCCCTCCATTATTTCAGGCAGTACCCAAGGCCCACCAACCAATGGGTCTAGGCAGCTAAACTTCAAAAACACAATGTACACATTGTACACTAAGGTGACAACTGTGTTATGAAAAGGATAAACTCCCTATTCTTAAATAAATCAAATGAACTACTTTTTTTAATGTTTATTTTTGTGAGAGTAAATGCACACATGTGCGTGCACATGAGCAGGGGAGGGGCAGAGGGAGGGAGAGAGAGAATCCCAAGCAAGCCCCATGCTCGGTGCAGAGCCTGAGGTGGGGCTCAATCCTGTGAACTGTGAGACCATGATCTGAGCCAAAATCAAGAGTCAGACTGACTGAGGCACCCACACGCCCAAAATCAAAATGAATTATAAGACAATAAGAGAACCAATATCCTGTATTTATTCTGCTAATCAATCTATTTTCATCCTTTATTGATAGCTATGAGAATTTTGACTAAAAAAAGTTAGGTACAAAGTCAACAAAAATCTGCTTCCAAAAAAATCAGATTTTATTTATATTTTGTAATTGAAATACTTATTAAAAATACTTATTAAAAAAGCATACCCCTTATGAAAATAATTTAAATATACAAAGATAATTAAAGATATGATCATATATTTTACTAAGATTCATGTAAACCTTCTAGAAGAGTTTCAAAAATGTATTACATAAAGCCATAACCTGTATTTCAAACCAATCTTATGACTTTTTACAACTACTACATGGCAACTATTTTTAAATCAGGGAAAAGTTCTCAAGATGAACTGATCAGAACGGAGAGTATAAACAAAGAAGGTTTGATCATGAAAAATAAAAGTAACCCACATTGTGCCTTACGTTCCATTATAATGTTCGCAGAAGGCAAACTTGCAGAGTTTTAATAATATTTTTCCCCCTCAAATATTTTTACCGCTACTTTTAATTTTGTTTCAGTCGTCCTCATTTTTAATTTCAATAACTGTCAAAGGAGGGTATGGGATTTTTATGTTTCTCAATCACATCCATTCCCTCACGTCATCTGTCCCCATCCCTGCTCAACCTCATCTTCCACTCTTTCCCTCTTCCGCTGGCTGCCACCACACGAGCCTTTCTGTCCCTCACATTCACCACTTTGGTCTCAGGATCTCTGCACTTTGATCTTTCGGGTTTTTCCTCAGATCTCAGCATGGCTGCCTCGTCTTCATGATTCCAGCCTCTAACATCACTTGTCAGCTACATCCAACTCGCCCTACACATACACAGCACAGCACTATCTCATTTTCTGCATGGTACTTATTTACCAGTACATCAGGTTGTGTTACATCCGGATTCTGTCTTGCCCACCATTACTGTCCTGGTATTTAGCACAGTGGCCAGCACAGTAGCACAACATTAATTACTGACGGACAGGTTAGAGAAAGCTCAGAAATGTGCTCCAGGGATGCCACCAGATGCCCTCAGGATGGGTTTTCAAAAAGCCAGCCTGAGGAGCTATAGCATCTTTTCTGGTTTACACACAGGACCGCTACAAAATTGTCTGAATAAAGGTTGTGAATAAAAGTCTGAAAGCCACTACTTTGTAATTTGTAGTTTTAGCCACAGATTCCAGATTTCAAACTGGCTGAAATGAGGGCAGAGGGCTGCTGGAACATCACTCTCCGGACTCCTCCACACAAACCCTGAGACACTCCGCCAAGAGCCCCTACGGCTTTACAGAGAAAACTGAAATCAAGGGTTGCAGAAGACCAGGCTTAGTCGTAAAGAAACAACTTGATTTGCGTTGTCACTGTGAACAGATCTCCAAGTTCCACATTTTATTAACAGTACCACCTAGAAATAAGAAAATCCTAAGGCTGCAACTTAATTAGAACTTTCTTTTAAATTTTCGTTTTTGGAGGGTAAATTAGTTCATTAGAAACCACCAAGTTAGTTTCTTTTACACCAAACTGTTCCTTCTTCCAACATACCTTACAAATCACTGCCATACAAACTTTTCTAAATACCAACTTCATAGCACTTTTCTCAGTAACTTAATGTGGCTATCAACTGCTTAATCCAACTAGCTTTAACACTGCAATTTCATTTGCAAGGTCATTAATATGGTCCTACCCTTTCACTCCAGTTTATTTCCCACCAACCGTTATTTTCCACAACCCTTGCTTATAGCAAAGACATCCTCCTTAGTCTTTACTCCCTCCTAAGTTCGGGCCTTGCTTGAAGAGCCCTCCATTTAGTCCTATGTAAATACAACTTTACCTGCAAAGCCCAGTGAAAGTCTTGATGTTCTTTTTTCTCATACCTCTTATAATTTATACTTGGGTTCAAAAACTAAGGGCTGAGAGCAAAATCTGACCTGTTTTTATAAAGCTGTGATGTGACAGAGCCATGGTCACTCAACTGCAGTCTCTGGCTGCCTTCACACTATAAAGGCAGGGGTGAGTAGCTGCAACAGAGAGCATATGGCTTGCAAAATCTAAAATATTCACTAACTGGCCTTTACAGAAAAAGTTTGCTGGCACCTAGCCTGTATCACCCAACTTAATGCTTCCTGTTTTATAAATACATATACTGTCATTTATACTAGAATATAATCCTTATGAAAACAAGAACCTAATTAATATTTCCTGCTTTTGGAATAAGTGAAAATAATCAACCACCAAATGAGATCAGATTTTTATTCATATTGTGAAAAACCGGAAATAATCTAAATGTCCAAAAACGGACAAGCTAAGTGATGGTATACCCATAAGTGACAAAATGTATAGAGCTATTAAAAATATTATTTAACAAAGAAAAAAGCTCATAAAATACTGAGTGAAAAGACAAGGGAGATTTTAAGTCAATATGGCTGGCTATAACAAAATGTTGCAATGGTTATCTTAGCAGGGTAGAATGTGGGGCTTCTTCTTACCTTTGTTTATTAATATGTTCTAAATTTCCTCATTCAGTATTTATTTTGAAATAAAAAACAAAAGCTAAAATATTTTTTAAATACCCAATTATTAATTTTTAATCAGGTTCTCAGGTTCTAGGACTTGACTCAGGTTGTAAAAAATAAAAGTGATGAGAAATGTACATCTAAATTCACATCAAGCAAAGAGCCTGCATTTTACTACACACACCCATAGCTATAGCTAGTATTTTTAAGTCACTTGTTGGAATCAGACTCAAAGAAGAGTCCAGAGCAGGCAAGATGTTCTATATAATCCTTTTAGTCCCACTACTTTATGACTTACAGGTGTATTTATACTATAATGCCAGATCATACTAATGCCTAGACCATAACAATTTTTAATGTCACAATAAGATTATCAAAAAAAAATTTTTTAAGTTTATTTATGGGGTGCCTGGATGGCTTCAGTTGGTTAGGTGACCAATTCCTGATTCAAACTTAGGTCATGATCTCACTCACGGTTCATGGATTTAAACCCCATGTTGGGCTTCACACTAATATCACAGTCTGCTTGAGATTCTCTCTCTCTCCCCTTTCTCTCTCTCTCAAAATAAATAAACTTTTGAGAGAGCGAGAGAGAGAGAGAGAGGCAGAGAGAGGGAGAGGCAGAATCCCAAGCAGGCTCCATGCTGTCAGTGCAAAGCCCAACTCGAGGCTCAGACTCATGATCTGTGAGATCATGACCTGAGCTGAGACCAAGAGTTGGATGCTTAACTGACTGAGCCACCCAGATGCTCTGGTTCTCAAAAATTTAATAATGGCAATAGGTTGTCTTTTCTAATCTTCTTTTTAAAAAAAGATGAATAGATATTATGGTTTCACAAAGAACAGGAATATTCTTGCTCAAAGGTCACAAGAGCCCAAAAGAACTATGAGCAGAGAATTCCTTATGTTTATGACAATTTCTAATTCTTACTTATAAAGAAAATACAAAACTGAGTATAATTAACTTACCAAATTTAAGGGGAAAAAGAGTCAATTTAAAAGAAAGAGAACCTATGAAAAAAGCTCATAATGAAAGTACTTAAAATTGCAACAATTTAATCCATTTTACTGAGATTATACAGAACATTCAAATAGGGCTAATCTTACAAAAATAAAACTAAGGAAGATGCACTATATCATGGCTCTGATGTGTTAGCATAACTTTGTAAGTTGGATTTATAAATAAACTTTTATTGAAAATAATAATCTTATAAAAATGTGCTGAAGATGTGTATCTTTGTAATTATCTGTATTTAAATGTGAAGTATTTTTATAATACTAAAGCTGAAGAAACAAACGAATAAAGAAATTAAGAATACAGCAACAGGGCTTCATATTAAACATTTACGCTTTGGTCAAATTATCTGTATTTTCTCCCGTGGTCACTGGTAGAAATGAGAAAAAATACAAGATGAAAAGAATAAAAAGAGGGGTGCCTAGGTGGTTCAGTCGGTTAAGCGTCCAACTTCTGCTCAGGTCATGATCTCACGGTTTGTGGATTTTGGCCCGGTGTAGGGCTCTATGCTGACAGCTCAGAGCCTGGAGCCTGCTTCGGAGTCTGTGTCTCCCTCTCTCTCTGCCCCTCCCCCATGCGCACTGTGTCTTTCTCAAAAACTGATAAAAATCAACACTTAAAAAGTTTAAAAAAAAAAAAAAAGAATACAAAGAGAGATAGTCATGATGTCAACTCTTGTCAACTAACCCCCAGGGATTACATATGCAAACAAAAATGTCAGATTTTAACTGCACTGTTCCTGACATATATGAATCTTCCAAAGAATTTTACTCAAAGAATATATGCTTTTGTTTCTCCCCAGATCTGCATTGCCAACTCAAGGTGATGGAGTCCACCTACAGTGATTTTCACAAAGCTAATATATGCTTAAGAGCTAACTGAATTTTCTTTCCCCTAAACTGTGTGCTCATATCCTTTGACCATTTTTTCTACTGGGTTTGATGCGTAGGTGTTCTTTACGTATTAGAAATTAAGCCCTTTGTACTATGAGCTACAAATACACTGCTGGTAGGTATTATCTATCAAATTAAAAAGAAATAATTACAAATTACAAAAAGACAACGATAACAAAAAGGATGAAGACGTGAGATGCTATGGCCAGAAAAAAGAACATTCTATTAAAAATAGAGAAAACTGAGCCACCTGGGTAGCTCAGCTGGCTCAGAATCCCACTTCAGCTCAGGTCATGATCTCACGAGTTGTGAGTCTGAGCCCCACATCAGCCTCCACCCTGACAGTGAGGAGCCTGCTTGGGATTCTCTCTCTCTCCCTCTCTGACTCTCCCCCATGTGCATGCTATGCTCTCTCTCTCTCAAAATAATAAACTTGAGAAAAAAAAAATCAAGGAAACTGATTTCTAATATCAGATCTGCCACAGACAAGCAAGTCATTTCGTCTCTGTGAGTAGGATTCTTTTTACACAAAACAGGAAAAAATAGCTGCCCAGTATCCAGTATACATAGTTATGTTAAAAATAAAGTAAAAGAGGTATGGAAAAATAAGTATGTAGACATTAAAAGTTCAGTTCCTGTTTTAAAATAAAATAGAAAGTAGTACCATGTCAAAACATGCACATACACATACATAAGTAGGTATCAATAAATATTTATTAAATTTAGTATTTCTAACTTGAAACTTAAAAACACTAGTGTCTAGGAAATACAGTGCTTTGCTATTTAAAATAAGTCCAAATAGGGCACCTGCGTGGCTCAGTCGTTCAGCATCTGACTTTGGCTCAGGTCATGATCTCACGGTTCGTGAGTTCAAATGGCACATCAGGTGAGTTCAAGGCCCTGATTCGGGCAAAACATGAGCCCTGTGTGAGCCCCGCTTCTCTCTCTCTCTCCTCCCTTTCTCTCTGTCTCTCTCTGCCCTTGCTCACTTGAGCCCTGCCCCCCCCCCCAAAATAAGTAAATAAAATAAGTCAAAATAAGCAGCAATTAAGTGGTAAAAAAAAAAAAAAAAACTAATTAAAGAATGAAATTAAAAATACATCATTTGAAAATTAAAAACAAAGGAGAATTTTCTTTTGTGGTCACACCACTTTATTACATCTTGATAACGACGCCTTATAAAAAGTATGTTGTAGAACTCTACCTAGTGGTTAAGTAGTGACTTTGCCAATTCCGCTAAATATAACGTTAAAAAATTTTCAGACAAGAGGAAAATGGAGAGGTGTGTTGGAGGGGGAGGAGTAGAGAGTGGAATCCCCATTATTATCTCTTAAGAAAAGCTTCTCTCTGTTTAAAAAGCTTCTCTGAACTATTCTTTTGAATGATCCTAAAAATTTTTGTGCTTTAAGTGGGTAGGCCATTTCTACAAATACATCATTTGGCTATTATTATCTCCTTAGAAAAATATGTAAAAATATTAGCCAGTAAAGAATAACAGGAGATAATCTGGGTCTTACACACAGAGTGGTTTTTAAGAATCTGTGTACAAAATAGCAAATACTCATAAAGGTTCTCAGACAGGTATCGGAAGTCCATTATCAAAAGGTGCTTATGACAAGTTCTTAAATAGCAGGACATTTCTGGTGTAGAGTATTATACATTCATTTGCTGAATGGCTAAAAACATTTTTCATATCTGGAGACCAAAAAGTCCAGATTATTACTCTTAATTAACAATGCTAATTAAGGGTGCCTGGGTGGCTCAGTCAGTTGAGCGTCCAACTTCGGCTCAGGTCATGATCTCATGGTTTGTGAGTTCGAGCCTCGCGTCGGGCTCTGTGCTGACAGCTCGGAGCTTGCAGCCTGCTTTGGATTCTGTGGCTCCATCTCTGTCTGCCCCTCCCCCACCTGTACTCTGTCTCTCAAAAATAAATAAATGTTAAAAAAAATTTTTTTTAATGCTAATTTTATTTTAGAAAGTGGGATTTATCAATATTTTAAATAGGCATTACCTTTGACCAAGAAATTCTACCTCTTGGAATTTATTCAAGAAAAACTTCACATTAGTACAAAAAGATATAGGTACACTATTGATGAGGGTTTAGACTGGCAGAAAGCCATTTGGTAGGAGCTTTTTTCTTTTTTTTTTCATAGAGCACTCACACAAGTGGGTGAGGGTTATAGGGAGAGGGAGCAAGAGAATCTTAAGCGGTCTCCATGCTGAGTGTGAGGCTAGTTCTCACAACTGTGAGATCATGACATGAGCTGAAATCGAGAGTCAGATGCTCAACTGACTGAGCCGCCCAGGTGCTTCTGGTAGAATCTATTAAAATAAAAATGCGCATAGTCTTTCACATGGAAATTTTACCATGAAGCATTCTTCTTGAAAAATACAAAGGCATATAACAGAACATTTGATGCAGCATATTTGTGACAGTAAAAATTAGAAACAATGGAAGTGTGTATGAATAATGCAAATGGTTAAATAAACATTACTTCCGTATTACAGAACGGAGACACTGAAAAGATTCAACTAGATATGCATCGTGATGCTCTGCAAAGGGGAGAAAGACATGTACACGCTATGTACAGCAGACTGTTCAGTGGGACCAGAGAAAGAGAGGGAATTAAAAACGCATACAAGCTAAAGTGGTATTTGAGGGTTTTTTTTTTTTACAGTACTCATGTACTATCGTCTTAATTTTAAAAACTACACATTCTTCCTCGACTTCACATAAGTGCTTTCATGATTCCATAAAGACTCATTTATTACAGCTTTACTTAGCCAAAAGACGGAAAACGGGGTTTTTTTTTTTAACTTAATCTCTACAACAGAATCTCTAAAAATCTCTGAGACAGAAAAGATTAGAAATCTATCTGGTTCTACCTGCTTCTAATGTGTCTGGTTCATCTGGTCTCTGGGCGATCTGTAAGTAATACAACAAAGAGCCGTACAGGTGTGTCCTCACTCGCTGGAATCCGCCACCTAAGGAGATACAGAGTACAAACCCTGTTTCAAATGAAAGTTAAAACAAACACAAAAGGTGTGATTTGTAAGAAATTTAGATGAAAAAACCTGTCTTCAAAATGAAGTCTAACAGTTTCTTCAATATGATGTGAAGCGAAGAGTCTCCAATAGAAGCAAATCCCACCACCGGGTTCTCTGCTGAAGAAGGTGACGCGAACGAGCTATCGAGCATAAGAGCGTAATGGGTCTCTCCGGGTCCCAAGACTAATGGTTGCTTCTGTTCAGTGCGAACGGCTTGGCTTAGGTGAGCAGTCAAGGTGAACACAGCACCTGCTACCACTGGCATTAACTCCTGCGCTGCTTCATCATCTAGTATCTTAAAGCAGAAAGACAAATCAGCTACAGTCATTAACAGGTTTTATATACCCTGAGCTTTCACCTACCATTAAGAATATAAGAATGGAATGTCATTGATCAAAGAAAATAAAAGCTAATACATAGAAAAATTTAAATATGATACTGGTAACGTGTGTTCTTAACCAGAAGGGATTCCTATCAGGATTCCTTAGAGAGGTCTTTAATGTAAATTCACACAAGTGGTCACCCACCAGAGTGTCCCATTCAGTATGTCCGGGGTGGGATCCATCTGTGTATTTTTAAAAAGCTCGCTACGTAATTGTGATACATACTTTGGTTGAGAGCCATTACTGTACAGAAGACTTTCTTAAGGATCGCCTTAACACTGGCAATACACAACTCTATTTATTCCTAACATAAAAGGGGAAAAAAAGGATGGTGGGAAACTGTGTTTTTAAGTAGTATATAAAGATCTGTTCAGCAATACTGGAAGTAACTAGGAAGTAAGGAAGTTCAGGAAGCAATTTAGGAAGTACGTTACCTTATCATGCACATCTTGTAAGATATCACGGATAATCAGTTGCCGATCCTCTGCCTGAATGAGGTCCTGGGGACAAGCTGTCAGTATAATCTCCACCAGCTGCCTCCATGACTCCAGCACGTGCCGTTTTGCATGAAGACACTGCAGCAGCTTGTTTCTTCCTACCACATACTGAAGTATAGTGCTGATTTCCTAAAGCCACAGAAATTGAATCACAAGGTTAACAAATGGGCAGATAATATCTTTTACCAAAAGGGTCCGATTTTAACTTTATCTTTTTTAGGAATCTCTACACCCAATGTGGGGCTCCAACTCACGTCCCTGAAATCCAGAGTCGCACGCTCCATCAACTGAGCCAGCCAGGCACCCCAACAGAGTCCTATTTTTCAAGAGTCATTTATTCTGTCAGTTAACCTGAACACATCTGTAGTATATTTAGGAAACCTTCCACATGCATGCCAGTCAGCAGAGGTGGTAGGGGTTTTTTAACCCCATTTTCTTTGTAGTATCTACTTACACTTACTCTAGAGCACTGGAATTGCCTAAAACTCAAGTTCAAGGGCATGTCTCCCTGACATATCTTTTATTTCTTTGCTTCTTGCTTTGGCCTAGCCACCTGTGTTTCCATGTGTGTGGTTCTTCTCACCTGACCTCTAACCCACTGCTCCCCACCTGTGATGAAAAACCACTCTCTCTTCCCTCACCGACAGAGAACAAGGGAAGTCTAATACACAATATGGACAGGTTGCAAATCCTAAACTAGCCTAGCAGAAAAAAAAAAACGTTACTTACTCTGGCATCCAGATATTAACTTCAGTTCAGTTTACAAGTTTTAAAGTCAAAAATGGAAGATTCCATTAAGGTTTAATTTCAAGTAGTTTACTAACTGATGAACTACAAGTCAATTTACAGTTTTGTCTTCTAACTGGCAGTTAAATAGGTAGAAGATTCAAACTAACAAGTTCTCAATAGGGCTTACCTCCATCAGGAGAGGTCTCTGTCCTATGGCTGCCATACCCTGGAGGGCATTTACTTCAGCTACAAGGACTCTATGAAGAAGCTACAGAATTGAGGAAAGAGTGAAAAATCAGACCATTTCAGAATAATAACCTCTAGCAATTACTATAAACTGCCTTAGTGGAAACAGTGTTGGATACCTCTATATATAATCTATAAGTGACTCTGTTCGGTCTCCAGTCAAAAACATTAGGTGTCCCTCACATTACTGAGTGGGACCAAGGAGCCTCTGTGGCAGGTAAGTTAGCGCAAATGCCCTTGGATATCTTCTTCCTATTAGTGAGACCATTACCAGTTACCTGGTAGAGAGTAAAACCATTCCATAGCTAGGTGGCATGACTACTATCAGGAAGGTGATGGGGAACCTTTTAAAGAGGTAAAGCTAGTGTCGCCTATTCTGTTTCATTTCCCTGCTGTTAGAAAAGTGAAAACCACAGTCTAATAAACCAATACCCTTATCAGAAAACAACTGCATGGTTCTCTTTTTGTCTGAGGACTCAAAGTCTAAACCACTTGATACTGCATACACTTTAAAACAATCCTTACCTTGACGTTGCAGACTGTCTGTCCCCGTAAATTCTTGTGTTCACAGTTAGCAATAACTTGCTCGATCTGGGCCCGATCAAAGAAATCCAACTGCAAAGGCTCAGGGATCTCCTGACTGAAGTCAATCGAGTCAAGAATGCTTAGAATCTTTCGACGTACTAGAAAAAATAGAAAGTGGTTCGATTTTATTTGGGACGGTGAGGAGAAGAGCAAACCGTTGTACTCAGCTCACTCTCAAAGATAGTGCTAGGTTCAATAAAGGGAGTTGAGGGGGTACCTGGGGGGCTCAGTCGGTTAAGCGTCCAACTCTTCATTTTGGCTCAGGTCATGATCTCACGGTAGTGAGATCGAGCCCCGAGTCAGGCTCTGTGCTGAGCAAGGAGGCTGCCTGGGATTCGCTCTCTCTCCCTCTCTATCTGTCCTCCCAGCTTACACTCGCACTTTCTCTCTCAAAACAAATAAATCAACGTTTGGGGGGGGGGGGGGGAGAAAGAAAGGATGTTAAGCCCAGAAATGGAAAACTGTGTTGAAATCGAAATGTGATTTTATTTCTAATACATCCATTTGCAAAAACACTTTTTCCCATTCATTCATCCTAGTTATAAAAAAGTTATTTTTGAATGACAACTAATCCTTTCTATAGCTCTTCTATACCAGTTCAGAATTTGCAGATACAGGTGTCATAATTATCTCTTCAAATTTAAGCAATTTAATATACACCTATAAATTTATTATAGATTCAAAGGGTTTTACCTTTTGTAGCAGTGTCAAAGTGAAGGAACCCAGAGACAGACCTATTTTCATCTTCTATTCCTCCTTCACCATCTGTTAGAGCATCAATAATAACAGATCAGGAAAAACAACAACATACTCATAAAATTTATTTGGAAATAACAAGGTATTTTTTTTCTAGATCACTGTTGCTAGGTCAGAGAGCCCTCTGCAAATGGATAATTGAAATGCAAAGATGATGAGAACTTACCAACATTCATCTAATTCTTTCTGTCCCCAGGAGATCCACTTCACAATTGTAAAGAGGATAATCAGAACTCCCAAAGAGGCAAGACCCATTCCCACCAATGCGATGATTAGAAAAGCTTATGTTTAATTTGCATGTATAACACACGTTAAAATACCTTGGGTCATCCTGGCTCAGTGTGGCAAACTCCACTGAATATTTGCATATAGCAGAACGCGGATGCTTCAAACAATAATCAAATAGCAATTATGGGATGAATTTAAAAGTTTTGCGTTTTAAGGAAAAAAATTCTAAAGACGGAAAGAACTTGTTTAGCCTACAATCACATGCTAAGCGCAAGACTGCAGCGCATGCCTTCACACGGACCAGCCAGCAGCACAAGAGAACAAACGGCAACATGTACACACTCACCTGAGTACGGTCTCACAGGCATGTCGTCCAGTAAGAGATGTAGGAGCCTCTGGGTATGTGACCGCTGACGATTCAGAGAAGTTACCCGTAGTTCTATTGAGGCAGTCTTCATTAGCCATGACATCTGGTTCAGCATAGACATTTCATACTCTGCAAGTTAAATACATGAGTTTAGTTTCCTAGAGTATAATAACAGGATCGTAACAGATCTAAATTCCTTAACTCGTCAGATATTTGCTCACGTAAGTAACATACTCCACAATTTATGAAACTTGGCATCATAATAATTTATCACCCTGGAAGAAAATTAAAAAAGCAAAAACAGATGCTAAGAGAAAAAAAATAAGCACGTCCATGTCTATAAAGATGAGCCAAAGCAAATGAAGAACAAAAGAGAATCAATTTTCCATTACCAGGATAATTTCACACTTATCTATAAAATTCTAAGTCTGTCCTACTTTGACATTAACACAGACTTCATACTTAAAAACAAACACTAATTCTCAAATATATAACTTGTAAAAAAAAAACAACGCCCTAATGTGCAGTTTGACTTTTATTTCATAAAACAAATACCCAATGCATAATTTTATGATCTCTCTTAAGATAATCCAGGACATGTGATTTCACATATAATTAGGGTTGGTCTTCGCAGCATAGCAGCCGCAGCCCTGCGCTACCCTACAGCTGTGGGCCTCAGAAAGGGCTACAAGGTGACCAAGAGCATGAGAAAGCTGAGGCACAGCCACCAAGGGCACCTCACCAAGCACTCCAAGCTCACATGGGACATGAACTGAGAGGTGTGTGGCTTCACCCCACAAAAGCAATGTAGTGTGCAGCTGCTCAAAGTCTCCAAGGGCAGGGGGGCTCTCAAGTTCATCAAGAAAAGGGCAAGGACATGCATCAGCACCAAGAAGAGGAGAAGAACTTGGCACATCCTGGCAGCCGTGAGCGAAGTGGCTGTCGCGAAGGACTGAGCCCCTCCCCACTCTGTGCACACTGAAACGCTTCCAGAAACAAAACCAAAAATGAAACCTAAAATCAGGACTGGGAATCACTTATACAAGTTTCTGACTCCACTATTTTTAATATGCCTGATTTAAAGTCCTAAATTCTAACAGTATAAACATAAAACACACCAAATAGTACTACAACCACCACCCCTACCACCACAGTAACAGGCAAAACTCGTTGTTTTTTTTTAAACTAGGTTGATTTTTAAAAGACAGATACAGTAAGAGACAAAGCATTAACTTTTCTTTCTAATTAGGTATAAAGGAGGGTTGCTTAAAAAGCTTATAATATAAACAGATCTTAGAATTAAAAATAAGACATGCTTATTATGAAAATGAAGCGAAAAATGTTTGTCATTAGATAATTCCCAAAGTTCTCTCATTTCATCACTCTAAAACGTGGATTAGAAGCAGATAATTACTAGTAATAAAAATTTATTATGAAATCCGTGAGCTTACACTTCCCAGAACATAAATAAAATATAAAAAAAAAAAAAAAAACCTTAAAAAAATCTCCATGGACTGTAACTGTCTAGATATAAATCGAATTCAGAAAATTGTTACAAATTGATCAGAAAGAAAATTATATAAAGTAGAATCCTATAAAAGAGAGGTAGCCTGGGATTGCGTTGGTTAGGTCAATAAACTCAGTTATTTCCACTATACTTAGCTTTCTATTTCTCATTTCAAGATCTCAAGTGGTTTCAATACGTACACAAGAAACAAAAGGAAAACAAGACATTTTAATTAAACACCGTCACTCAAAAAATCTAAATTTCCAGAATCTTCTCAGATAAATATTTTCTTATCTCTTCAACACAATTTAAATATTTTATTTGGTAGTATAAGGATCAAATTCCATCCCTGACAAGCTATTTTTAAATAACTTTATGCCAGCAGCTAGAACATGAGGCTTCTCAGTGACAAATTACAAAAGCAACCCAAAATAACGAAAAAAGCAAAGTAACAAAATGAAACGGAATTCCACAAATACTGTAACTGCTACCCTGAATGTTATATAAATAAAATCACATAGACTTCACAAATTAGTTATAACAATATGGGAAAATAATGTCCTACCTTTGTTAGAAAAAGGTAAATGTTGCAACTGTGAAAATAAGAAATCCTGGCTGGTTCTCAAGTACCTCATAGTAGGACCAGATGTATCAGAGCACGCACACAACTGATATATCACCTAAAGAGTTAAAATGAAGTAAAAAAATCCACAAATCATTTCTTTTGTGTTATAAATTGTAAGTTAAAAGGTGAACTTAGATTTACTAAACAGAAGCTAGGACCCATCAATAACTTAAGAAAAATGGATAAACACAGATGCTCAGTTATAAGCAATCATTAGCACCCCAACTCAAGAATACAGATTGGAATAGTGCTGATGACATTATTATACAACTCATGTTTAAGTCAACCTCAGTACGTTTATTAATACATATAGTTAATTTAAAAAGTATAGTAAAATAGTTAAGTATTTTAACTATTACTAATAACAAATCACTTGGAAGTAACTTCTAAAAAATTTTTTTAGCGTTTTAATTCACTTTTTGAGAGGCAGAGAGAGACAGAGCACGAGCAGAGGGGCAGAGAGAGAGGAAGACACAGAATCTGAAGCAGGCTCCAGGCTCCATTCTTTTTGATCCGACGCGTAGCACAGAGCCCAAAGCAGGGCTCGAACCACGAGCCGTGAGATAATGACATGAGCCAACATCGGCCACTTAACTGACTGAGCCAACCAGTCACCCAGGAAACAACTTCTAAAAACCATACTTAATTTAGTTGAACCTTAGGAAGGTAATAAACTTACCAGGATTGAAGTAATCAAAAAAATTACAAAGAAATCCAGATTCAACTAAATAACAAATATAAACTCTAAATTAAATAAAAATTTAGCAGAAAATAATAGAATTGGGGATAAAGGTTTGCTTTTGTATAAATATAAGAAATATCTATTAGATATATAAAACTTTCCATTAGGTATATGAGTATCATATACCTAAATAGATAAAAGGGCAAAAAACATTTGAGAGGAAGGAAAAAATATATAGCCCACCATCAAAAATTGTCCATCCTTTTTAGTGATAAAAAAAATTAAGGGGCATGGCTTAGTCCATTAAGTGTCTGACTTTGGCTCAGGTGATTATCTCAGTTTATAGGTTCAAGCCCCTCTTCGGGCTCTCTGCTGTCAGCACAGAACCTGCTTTCGATCCTCTGTCCCTCTCTTTCTCTGCCCCTCCCCTGCTTGCACTCCCTCCCTCTCTTTCTCTCTCAAAAATAAATAAACATTAAAAATAAAAATTAAGGCCTCACTGGCTCAGTCAGTAGGGACTGCAACTCTTAATTTCGGAGTCACATGAGTTTAAGCCCCACATTGGGTATGGATCGTACTTAAAATAAATAAATAAATAAATACATACATACATACATACATACACACATACATAAATACATAAATAAATAAACACTCAGTCAATAAGGCAGGCCTCTTAATGTAAACAGCAAAATTTTTAACTATAAAAAGCAAATCCTGGAGTGCCTGGGAGGCTCAGTTGGTTAAGCATCAACTTCAGCTCAGGTCACGATCTCATGGTTCATGAGTTCGAGCCCCACATCAGGCTCTCTGCCGTCAGTGAAGAGCCCGCTTCAGATCCTCTGTCCCCGCCCCCCTCTTTCTTGCCCCTCTCCCACTCATGCTCTCTCTCTCAAAAATAAATAAAACTTAAAAAAGCAAATCCTAGTATTTGGCAAAGTGGTAGTGAAAACTTTCATTTGTGAAAGATTTATTTTATACATACTTATTAGATGCTTTCCATGTAAAAGGAATTTTAAATTCATCTGTTATTGGCACTACTTAATGCATACTATAATTGTCAAGATTACTTGCAAAATAAAATCTGAAGTCATGGGGCACCTGGCTGTTTAATTATCAGTCAATGAAAATGTCGGGACAGAGGCTTACAGGGTTCTAACCTATGTTTTCTCTGGGAGCAATGGTTCAATATTCACCAATTCAGTGTTCACTGTCAATTTATAAAACCAGTAATGACAATCAACTGCAAAACCATGTCTGAAATTATATTCTTTTTTTAAATGTTTATTTATGTATTTTGAAAGAAAGAGAGAGAACGAGTGGGAAAGGGGCAGAGAGAGAGCGGGAGAGAGAGAATCCCAAGCAGGCTCTGCACTGTCAGCACATAGCCCGGCATGGGGCTCGAACTCACGAACTGAGATCATGACCTGAGCCAAAACCAAGAGTTGGACACTTAACTGACTGAGCCACCAAGGCACCTCTGGAATTATATTCTTAAAATAAACAAAAAACAACAAAAGTAACTAAAGGTGTTTGTTAGAGCAAAGTAAAAACTTGGATATAATGTACAGAAAGTTCATACAGAGAGGGGGAAAGGACACAAAACTGTCAGCTGAATGTAACTATACAAACAGGTATACACAAGGAAGAAAGATAAGAACACAAAGCAAAAACTTAAATAGTTCTACTGTAGATGCATGTTGTCTTTCGAATAGCCTTGACATTATTTTTGATACTCTATTAACAAATAAAAATTTGATAAGCTGATAATGAACGTCTTCAAACAAAACAAAATGAGTCAATCGTATCAGATGATCAGTTAAGAAGACACAAGAATAGAGGCTCAAAGATGTGGGACGAGTAATATATTAGAGGAAGGACACAGAAAAGGAGTTCCCAAAGCACTACTAGCCATTTTACAAGCATGTGCCTAAGAACCTCCCTAGTTCCCAAGACCAGGCAAGAAAAATGTCCATCCTGAGAGGAGAGAGCACAGGTCTAGGCTCAATCTCAACTTCTGCACCCAGAAAGTCGCATACTGCCGGGAGAGGAAGGTATCAGTAAGGTCCAAACTAGTTCCCTTTGCTACAATCAGAGTTATCTAAACTCACAAGCTCTTCAAAGTTTGAATTTTTTTTCTGAAGCAGAGTGAAGTATAAATCTATAGGTGAAGGAAGCATCTTTCATGAAAAATGGAGCAGTGCCTCATTAAAATGCAGATTCTGACTCAGCGGCCTGGAGTGGGGCCTGAGATTCTGCTCTAACAAGCTCCCAGGAGTGCTGCTGCTGAGGCTGGACCACGCTTGGAGTAGCAAAGTCACAGAGCATATGTAATAAGCTGGCAGACTGCTGGTACAGACATGCTTCCTTTGGCCAGTACAGTGTATTAAAAACCAGAGAATCTGGCAAACCGGGACCCACATGCTGACATGGTGAAAACTAGCAGTGCACGTGCTTCCCGGTCTGCCAGATCCTCCTCCTCCTCCTCCCTCTCCCAACCTTTTTGTCTTACATCTGGCTTCATTCACTTACTTCACCTGCCTAACTCCTTTAGCCTAGATGATTAAGCTTATCGACTACTTCTATCTAAATATGTCGAATTCTGTAATGCTGTTAAAATGTACATCAAGTTGATTCCCCCGTTAAGGAAGAATTCGTTTTGATTCTAGTACTTACAGTGAAGGGCTGTCTAGACAACCAGAAGATAGAAGAAAACAGAAGGGAATTACAAAAAGAGAAACAGGAGAATAAAGAAAAACGTCCAGCTCGCTATAGGTCAACGATGCCTTTCTTATGGCAATGTAAACCAAGGCGCTACTGAAATTGAGAAATTAGTCACATCCTATAAAGCCTAGTTCTTAAAACACCAAATGAATGAAACAAGAAATAATCATAAGTGAACACAAGCAAAGCAGAGGTTCTCATCCTAGTTTAAACAACTGGACTTTCCACCACCCTACATCTAGCTCCGGAGCTGCAGGATTCACATGGTTCTTAAAAAGCGCTTTCGGGGGCACCTGGGTGGCAGTTAATAGTCAGTTAAGCTAACAGGTAATAGTTAAGTGTCTAACTCTTGGTTTCGGCTCAGGTCATGATCTCACGGTTCGTAAGTTTGCGCCCCATTTTGGGCTCTGTGCTGGTAGTGAGGAGTGTGCTTGGGATTTTCTCTCTCTCTCTAGGTCTCTGCCCCTCCCACTCTCTCTCTCTCTCTCTCAAAATAAACTTAAAAAAAAAAAAAAAGGACTTTCATCCACATCTTACATTCTCAGTTAAGCCTCATAACAACCCACTGCACAAACTAAAAAACTCAGCAGAAGTTTTGTGACATGCCCAAGGTGATTTAGCTAACCAACTAGCTAAATCACAGAGATGAGAATCAGAGGTCTTCTGAGCCAAATCCACTGCTGTCTTCACCAAAAAGAAACAACATGCAACAGAACCACTGGAAACTTTCTACACTAGCAGGTCAAAATCCACCTCGAATTTTCTCTCATTTTTCAAGTGAGCAACACATAGGACCTGTAGATCTACAGGATCTGGGGGTCTCTGTTTTAGGGATTTAATCTATATATGAAAGACAAGGCAAACTACCAGATAAACTCATTTCAACTCAAGTCTTATTGTTATACTTCTGTATCTGTGATATATTCAAGCATCTAGTTAAATTTCTTCTACTGAGTGCTATGAAATGCAGCCTTCTATATACCTGGTAACATAGCTCAGCGAGTTGAGGAGATTCTCTCACTGCCACTGGACCTGTTCTCCCTTCAGTTCCTTTCTCCAAGATGTTTAAAATGGCATGAAGGCATGTTCGAGGGCAACCTAAGACTCCTACGTGAAACCAAAAAGAAATTCAACTTTTAAATTTCTGCATTGACATTAAAATACCTTTAGAAAAGTTAAATTCCATAAACATATGTTCTACTGTAAACACCCTTTCAAATACTGACACCGAAAATTAATAAATGCTAATTTTCCAAGGCTTAATTTGTCCAGACTTTGTCTAAGTCCTAAAGATTGACCTACCACATGACCTCTCACTTTCAGTGAATTATCCCATGAGTCCAGAACTCAATGAATGATCACTTAGCTAAACAAATCCGACAAGAAAGAAATGTCTGTGTGTCTTATGGCTGTACCTGGATCCTGTAGGTTTGTGGTACTGACAGGCTTCTTCAATTCAAAGCCCAACAAGTAGAGAGCAAGATTGGGTGGATTGCGCTCCAGAGAGGTTATGAGAAGATTCAAGATGTGGATTCTTGTTTCCTGACGGATTCCAGCTAGTTTCTTCTCAAGTTCTGATCCTTCATGTGGAAACCCACAAAACAAAATTACAAAACAAAACAAAAATCAACATAAACCACATTTAAATATATATAGCTTGCATTCCAAACCTCCATGTTTTTCTTCAAGTTTACCTCATTAGCCATCACAGTGAGTTCACATTTGTTGAAGAGGTTTCCACAAAACCTTACAGGTTTGTACCAGCAGATTTCCAAACTTCTCTATCGTCGCCAATAGACAGTTAACAGCTTTCTTTATATTAAGTATTTATATAAAGTGAAAAATGAATACATTAATATAAGACATACCCTCTTCTAGGGGCGCCTGCATGGCTCAGTTGGTTAAGCGTCCGACTTCAGCTCAGGTCATGATCTCACAGCTGGTGAGTTTGAGCCCTGCGTCGGGCTCTGTGCTGACAGCTCAGAGCCTGGAGCCTGCTTTGGATTCTGTTTCTCCCTCTCTCTCTCTGCCCCTCACCCACTCACACTCTGTCTCTGTCTCTCTCTCTCTCAAAAATATACAAACATTTACAAAATTAAAAGAAAGAAAGAAAGAAATACATACCCTCTTCTAGACGTACAAATTCTTCTGTGTCTTCACTATCCAAACATTCCACAAATCCAGCCATCAACTTCTGACTTACACTCTGGAGTCATATAAAGATTTGTTAAAAGACAAATTTATAAAGTTCTTTAATAATGTGAGAGAAACTATGATAAATGTGATATACATTCACAAACATTTGTCTCTAAAGAAAAAAGGCAAATCTCTAAAGTATTTAGGTTTCAGTTACACTTTTAATAGGAAACTCAGTTCCTGAAATAGTAGTAAGATAGCTCTCTACAGAAATAATTGAAAAAACAAAATTTTCTTTAAATGTTTATTTATTGTGAGGGAGAGAGAGAGAGTGCAAGCAAAAGTGGGGGGGGGGGGGGGGAGGGAGAGAGAGAGAGAGAGAGAGAGAGAGAGAGAGACGGAGGGAGGGAGAGAGAGAGAATCCCAACACAGGGCTCGATGTCACAGGTGTGAGATCATGACCTGAGCTAAAATCAAGAGTCAGATGCTTAACCAACTGAGCCACTCAGGTGCCCCAAGAAACAAAATTTTTAACACTTTCTCGGTTTCAAAACTTGCTTCCCCAATGTTCTTTCCCAAAGAATTAAATCAGTTTTTATTTTTATTTTTTTTTAATTTTTTTTCCAATGTTTTTATTTACTTTTGAAGGAGAGAGAGACAGAGCATGAGCAGGGGAGGAGCAGAGAGAGAGGGAGACATAGAATTTGAAGCAGGCTCCAGGCTCTAAGCCATCAGCACAGAGCCTGATGTGGGGCTCAAACCCACGAACTGTGAGATCATGACCTGAGCCGAAGTCAGATGCTCAACTGACCAAGCCACCCAGGCGCCCCTCAAATCAGTTTTTTAAAAAAAAAATACATTAAATTGCCATCTCATGACCTCTTCATTTAAAAAAAAATTTTTTTTTCAATGTTTATTTATTTTGGGGACACAGAGAGACAGAGCATGAACGGGGGAGGGGCAGAGAGAGAGGGAGACACAGAATCGGAAACAGGCTCCAGGCTCTGAGCCATCAGCCCAGAGCCCGACGCGGGGCTCGAACTCCCGGACCGCGAGATCGTGACCTGGCTGAAGTCGGACGCTTAACCGACTGCGCCACCCAGGCGCCCCGACCTCTTCATTTATATACCCAATGGTATGGGATCTTAACTAAAATAAAATATAAAATTCTCATCTTCTCTCTTTACAAATGTTTTGCCTGTCACCAGTTTTATGTTTCTGGGCTGAGAGATTAGATACTACTTAATCTCCTCGAGGAATATAGCAGGATGTTAAAACTGGTCATAATAATTCATACTCAAATGTATATGCGTGAGGGGCACCTTGGCTGACTCGGTTAAGCATGCAACTTCAGCTCAGGTCACGATCTCACGGTTTGTGAGTTCGAGCCCCGCGTCGGGCTCTGTGCTGATAGCACACAGCCTAGGACCTGCTTCGGATTCTGTGTCTCCCTCTCTCTCTCTGCCCCTCCCCTGCTCATGCTCTGTCTCTGTCAAAAATAAATGAACATTAAAAACATTTTTTTAATATGAGTGAGCTGAGAACCTCACCTACTACATCCCCTATCATGTAGTTTTCAAGAACCTCATCCAATGGCCAGATTAGACATCAATATTTTACTATAAACAGTGGTTCTCAACCCGGGTGGTACTGACACTCCAGATGGCACTTTGGGAAATATGTGACGCCAGGGGCACCTGGATAGCTCAGTGGGTTAAATGCCCAACTCTTGATTTCAGCTCAGGTCACAATCTCATGGTTTGAGTTCAAGCCCCATATTGGGCTCTGTGCTGACAGAGCAGAGCCTGCTTGGGATTCTCTCTCTCTGCCCCTCCCCTGCTCATACTCTTTCTCAAAATAAATAAATAAACTCAAAAAAAGACAAAAAGAAATATGTGAGAGCCTTCTGAGTTGTCACAACCAGAGTTTACTACTGACAGACAGTAGTAAAGACTGTAGTAAAGCATCTAGGGATGCTAAGAGACTTGCAATATGAGCAAGAGTGACACAGAAAATGAAGATCTGTCCCACCCAAAATGCCAGAGTAGTCCCTATTTTAAAACACTGCGAAGGAAGACACAACAAAATATAACTAGCTAAAAGCAGTGGTTTCTAACATGAAGATACAATGGGACAAACGCCTATAAAGAGGGAAAAAAAGCAGCAGATTCCCCAATAGTAGCTATTCAGCGAGCTATTCGGAATAGAAAGGGACTATAAATTGGATTAAATGAACATCTGAAAACTGTCTATAGTGCAATAGCCAATGGAGTGACACAAGTGTAAGTCACCAGAAAGCCACAGAAGTAGACAACTCAACAGTGAGAAACACTGAGAATTGCAGAGGCTCCCTCAGATTGTACCCAACTGACAGAGGGAGAAACAACAGATGCAAAATACAAGCAGAAGCTGCACTTACAAACCTCATCACTTCAACTGCTCTATTAGAGGAGCAACAGTCCCGCTACGCCCTCCTGTCCACGCGCGACAGCACAGACAGCACAATCACACACTACAGCCTGTGCACTGTCACTGCGGATGGCGACATCCGCAAACACAAATCACAGCCCAGTTGATGAACAGGTTTCACCGTCATATATAAATCGACTTACTCTCACAGAACTGTTTCATAAACAAGAATATGATTCCTCTAATAGACAACTGTGACTTCCATACGTACTCAGAATGACCCAAAAGAAGTAACAACATGGGGTGTCTGGGTGGCTCGGTCGGTGAAGCATCCGACTTCGGCTCAGGTCGTATCTCACAGTTTGTGAGTTCGGGCCCCGCATCAGGCTCTCTGCTGTCAGCATGGAGCCTGCTTCAGATCCTCTGTCCCTGTCTCTCTCTGTTCCCTCCCTCTCCCTCTCTCTCTCTCAAAAAATAAATAAACATTAAGAAATAACAAGAACATCAATTACCTGGTCATGTGTGAAATCTCCAACCAATTTTATCTGAATATTGGAGTTACAAGAGATACAGCAGAGGATCTTGGCACTTTCAAAAGCCAATTCGGGATTAGTATTGCCATGATATAGGTATCTTTAAAACAAGAAAACATTTGAGGAACAATGTGACACAACTTTTGGCTTTTAAAACACTCTTCTCAACAAAGAACATATAGAATCAGGGTCGTAGAGCACTCTTGGGTAAATTAGACAATGACTTCCATTCTAACTAGATACAGTCTATTATGGGTTGAACTGCATTCCTCCAAAATTCAATCGCTGATACTGAACCCAAAGTGAACTTTTGGAAACAGGGTCTTTGTAGACACAGTCAGTCAAGTTAACGTGAAGCCATTAGGGAAAACCCTGGTCCAACGACTGCTGTCCTTATTAAAAGGGGGAATTTGGAATAGATACGCACACAAGGAGAACACCATGTGAAACTGAAGACAGTAATCGGGGTGATGTCTCTGTAAGTCACAAAACAAACAGTGCCAAGCAAGCCACTGGAAGCTAGGACATATACAGTGAGAAGTTTGCTCCCTAGCCTTGTCCTCCAAACACCCAGTCTCCCTACAGGAGACAAATAGTACCAAAGTAATGTCATTTTATACTTAGAAATGTTTAGGAACAGAATCCATTAAGGAAGAAGAAAAAGGAATTGTAAAGGTCAGAGAAATTAAAATCAGAGGGGCTAAGGAAGGTAAGAACAAAACGAGCCCCACTTACCCCCACTCGCCAAGTAATGAATGAGAGATCTGATCAGATTTGGAAATCAAAGGTAGAATGCCCACGTGATTTTATTTAGACATTTTTCTACCTACAAATGTAACTTACCTGGCAATATTCACCACATTATCGGCCTTCTTAGTTCTGGGATTGATTCCCTGTAATAGCTGTTCTAAAGGAGAGACTATTAGAGCTAGCTGACTCTCTCTTAGAAGATCCATAAAGAGATTTTCCTTTTGCAGAGTAAGATTGAGAAGGGCAAGGCAGTGCTGCACTGCTTTCTCCAGATGCTTCTTCCCTAGAAAAAATTACAAAGAAAATTAGAAAGTTCTACATGAATCTTAAAAACACATAGTTCTTAGGAAAACAAGCTAAAGGACAAATTCTGGACTCAAAAAGCCCTCAGAAGGTCACTTACAGCAGCAACTTCATAAAACTGTTCACTCGAGCAATTCACAGTAATTTGGTAACTCAAGATTCTTTGTATGCAATGGCCTCTCGTCATTTTCCCTGATCTCTTCCTTGATTATTTAAGCAATGGTTCTCGGATGGGGGTGATTTAGGCCCCAGAAGACACCTGGCAAGGTCTGGAGATACTTTTGGTTGTCACAACTGGGAAAGCACTACAGGGATCTAGTGGGTAGAGCCTACAAAGCACAGGACGGCCCCCACAACAAAGATTTTTATCTTTGAATGTCAGTGTGAATGGTGCCAAGACCTAGTAAGCGATTTAGAGTGATACATGCTCATTGCAGAAAATGTGCAAATAAAGAAACTGAGAATTTGAACAAGGATCACCCATAAACCCACCATTCAAATTTAAAATACATGGGCTCTCGAGCCAAACTGCCTAAATTCAAATCACAGCCCTAAAACTTGCTGCAGATAAAGATGCAAAACCTCTCTCTTACACAATTTCCTTATTTACAAACTGGAAGTAATAACATCTACCACAAAGGGCTTTTGTACAGATTAAATGTGTTAAATGTGCTCTTAACAGCACCAAGTACATACGAAGCACTCAATAAACCATGACAATTAGCAGTAATAATGATATTAAGTGAAATTTATCAAACACTGTATCAGGCACGATAGTAAGTGCCTTGACAAATACCATATGGACAAGAAACAAAAAGTGCATTAGATTTAAATGTAAGCACATTAGAGACATCAAAGTGAAAGAAAGATCATTATAATTACCTATAAAAGACCATGCAATGAAACACAGTTCTACTGACAGTCTCTGTACCTTACTTACTCTTTCACTTTTAATATACTTTGCTTGTATGACTCACTGAAACCACCACTGTGGATATAGAGAATCTTACAGTAAAAAAGGACTTCAAAAATCATCTCTTTCAAACCTCCATTTATAAAAAAAGAAAATATCAAAACTGTTTTCAAGACGTTAAGACATTCAGGCACACACCAGGGAAAGGGGCATAGGTATCCAGCTGCTTAACGCCTTCCTCCAGCAAACTAAGAGCAAGCTCCAACGTTGGTGACTCATTCAGAAGATGATACATCAGACTAAATCCTGGTGGTTTGTAGGCTATGATTTCTTCTCCTAAATAGAACATAACACAGTCCAGGAGATGGTCAGTTAGTATTTTTGTCATACCCTTGATTTATATGAAATATATGAGACTTGTAAATTAAATGGCATCTAAACGGGCTACTTTCAATTTAGAGACAATGGCACAAACTGTACACAGTGGTAATTCCCAAAGGGCTGATTTGCTCATAGTAGTTAGTTACCTATGTTAACTCCTTAAAGGATCTATAAGGAGGTGTTCTTTCTTTCATTCAGCAAAATTTTACTTTATTTTCTCTTGCTCAGAACAATTAAAATAACTAAGACAATGTAACAAAAAAAGATTATATCCCAACTTAATTCATTAACTTAGAAATACTCTGTATCTTATATATATAAGTTATAAATAGCTTTATCAATAGTTGACAGCATACTTGGAAGTGATAAATTACCTTGTAATTCCACAAACTGGTCTACAAAATCTTCAAGTTGAGGCTCATAATCTCTGAGCAATTTATAAAACACTTCCAAAACAACCTCAGCAACTTCCCACTATAGAAAGAGACAAATATTACAGTAATGATAAAACAGTCCAAGGTGACGGCCTTATTAAGCTTTTCATTCCTCCCACTTTTCTCCAGAACATGACTGAAGTCCCTTCTCCAAAGTGTCAAATATTTCATATTTTCTCTAAAATTCTCAGGTTGTAAAGGGGCCGAGAAATCATCTAACCGCCCTTCTATCACAAAGAAAGCTAATGAAGCTCAGAGCATGAATAACTTCCCCAAACCATAAAGCTTGGTAGCAAACATGCTGGAAATTAAACCCTAGACTTCTATTCCCAGACCAGTATTCTATCTTATATGACTCTAGCCAAACAAGTTAAGAAGAATCAAGGGACGCTTGCCCCTAATGGACCCATTAATATCTTTTTGTTAAAAATAGTTTTTTAAGGGGCACCTGGGTGGCTCAGTTGGGTAAGTATCCAGCTTTGGCTCGGGTCATGATCTCATGGTCTGTGAGTTCGAGCTCCGCATCTGGCTCTGTGCTGACAGCTCAGAGCCTGGAGCCTGCTTCTGATTCTGTGTCTCCCTTTTTCTCTGCCCCTCCCCTGCTTGTGCTCTTTCTCTCTCTCTCTCTCAAAAATAAATGTTAAAAAAAATGATTTTTAAAAGGTATGTGACGAGGAAAAATATTTATGTCAAAGGAAAAACATGTATAATAGTATAGATGGCAAAATTAAAACTTTGTTCTAAAAACAATTCCACTGCAAAGAATTTATTAAGGCTGAGGCTGGTAACTGTAGTTAGGGTGGTTTTTTAAATTATTATTTTAAAATAATTTCCACTACACATAATTTTATCAAGGCTGAGTCTAGGAATTAGGATTATACAGTGATTTTTTTTATTATTATTTTTAAATTATCCACCTATCTATATTTTCCAAAAACTTCAAGATCACTTATTTAAGTAAAAAAGGCTTATTATCACCACATAATGAATGATTTTAGGATTTATAAATATATATATATATATATATATACTAGCTCTATGTCTATGTTATTTATCTCAATGTAAAGCACTGTTTTTGTGAGAAGCTAATGTTCTAAAATACAGTGACAGAAGTTAAACCTGAAGAAGACTTTCAAGTGAAAAGAATCCATGAAGTTGAGGAAAAATGCCTGAGGGTAAATATGTTGGGGTGGAACTGAAATCAGTGGTAACTAGGGGAAACAGCAGCACTGGAAGGGTCCAGATGCATGAATGAAAAACAGTAACCCCTGGCAAGAACATGGCTGACTCAAGATCTAAACCCTGAGGTCATAATGACCTTTTTAAGAAAAGGCAAATAAGGTACTTGAGACAAGTGTGAAAACATATCAGAGCATTTTGCTGAAGAGGTCACAATTGCCAGCATCCATTATTCAGCATCTGAAATGCCTTTTATTAACAAGGCATGGCTGCTGTCATTGTTTTCATCCAATAAGGAAATAGATGTTAAAGAGGTAATTTTAGGACTTAAATGTACACCTCTCCCAGTATTTATTTTAACTGTGTGAGAAGCAAAAATCATAAAACAACAGACAAAAAATGAGTTTCAGTTATTTGGGACTAAGTATTAGAAACAAACTGTGTCCAATGAAAGGGTAATAATGAATACGTACACCATGCTACATACAAGTAATGATCATGCAATCAATGAAGAGATGGTTTTCAAAGAATCTTTGATGGCATGAAAAAGTGCTCATGATACTGTATTTAGTGGCCAAAAAGAGATACAAACGAATGCTAACTATCTCAATTTAAGTGCGCGCGCACGTGTGTGTGTGTGTGTGTGGATATACGTATATATGGATATACATATATATGATATATGTATATATGGATATACGTATATGGATATATGTATATATGAAGAAGGATACGTTATCCTTCCTTTGGCAACAGGATTATGGATAATATAATTTCTTCTTACATTTTTCTATAGTTTCCTAATTGTCCCAAATTAGCACAAACAAAATTATTTTTATAATCACTAATATAACAACAAATAAACCCAACAGGTTCAAAAACAGCAAATTATAAAGTAGAAATGTCCCTACAAGATACATCCAAGCGTATTCTGCGAGGCAATAAACATTATAGACTAAGTGAATTACGTCAGAACCTGAAAGGGTCTCTTACATAGCTTAGTGGTTATGAGCTTGAATCTGGAATCAGAGTCCTAGGTTCAAATCTTGGTTCTGGACCTTAGGCAAGTTCCTTAACCTTGCTAAGCCTCCATCTGTAAAATGGGAATGTTCACAGTACCTGCCTCACAGTAATAACGGAATTACGTAAGATAATATATACAGTAAGTTCAGTTGCGAGTGTGTCGCAACCAGAGGAAATACGTATGTAAATGTCAGTGCTCCCTCAGCCTCCATCCCTGGCAAACATAACTGACAGATCACAATACGTCTTCCTATCATGACAAGGCTCCATAATCCAGAAGGGCTACTAATCAAGAGAAATTGGTGTGCAAGTTTCAACTTATCTCAATCTCTAAACTAAATCACCTCAATAAAGGATGATATGTTTCCAACTGACAAAGGCGTGACATTTTTGGTTCAATTTTGGTCAAAATGTGTTCAGTTAAGGATCTGAGTAACTATGAATTTGTATCAACTGAATTACCGTCACTAAAAAGTCAGTGCTTTGGTTTTAGTGCCCAAATTCATTTTTTTTAATGCACATAAACTAATCAGATCACGGACATCTCTGTGTTAAAACTATGAATTTTACTGATTGCCAAAAGCTAAAATGAATTTACAGCATCTCATACCTTTAATAAGAGAAAAAGCAGCAATAAACGAGTAAGGAGAAAATAGGTTTTCTCCGTATATTACCTTTTCAGCTGCTCTCCGGTAAGCTCTTGTGCGGAATCGGAGAAACACAGAATCTCTGAGGAACTGCAAATAAGGGTCAAAGCCAGGGGGCCTCAGGCCAGCACCTAAATTAGAAGGAAATGAGCTCTCCACCAAGGTACTAATAAGCTGGCAAAAGGCCCGAGTCAACGGGTATTCTTCACACCGGGATTCTATTTCATTTAGTTCAACCTTCCAAAAGAAACAATAAAGAAAATTTAGTAATATGAAACCATCAGCTATAAAGTACACAACATTTTGCAGACATTGACTCACTAGTATTGAGCTAGTCATCATAATTATCATCACACCAAAAGATACGTTATCTCACCATTTTTCATTTAGAGGAAAAGACACCAAAGTATCATATAAATTGAATTAATCAGATGGAAGAATTTCAAATTCCCATGTATTGTTCCCAGGTGTGAATTAAAAATAGAAATCTTCTATGTTTCTTTTTGAAAAAGAGAGGGGGAGTGTAGAGAGAGAAGCAAAGAAACTAAAGTAAATTCTCACTTCAGGTTGACCCAAGTAATCCAATTAAACTGGGTTCCACGCAAACTTTCAGTTTGGGTGGCTGCCGTAGAACATCCTTTCCCAACTCTGAAACCTGAAGTATTTTGCTTCCTCTCAGGAAAAATGTCATGTCCATCTCAACACTGACCAGACAACACTTCAAATGAAAACATATTAAACTTGAAAATTATAAGGAACCTCACAGGGTATAAGAATACTTTTTGTTAACTTTCATCATGTGAATGTACGAGTAGAGCATTTAAACTCAAAGGAAAACTTTACCTCGATACCAATCGCTTGCCTCTGGCTTGGAACCCTTACGGTCTGCAGTATCTTAAAATAATAAGAATGAGATGTTAGAAGCATTCCCTACTCCTCAATGAAAAGCAGTGACTCTGTAATATAAACAGTCATATTCACACCCACAGGTGTGTGTATCTTATGATGCTAATCACAGAGGACAATTGAGAAGTCTCTGATGGACTTTCATCAGCAACTGTGCAGGGTTCAGGTAGAAGCTCCAATTATTTGGGCTTCAGAAAACTGATGGTTTCTAAGTGCACATGAGATGTATTTTCAGCAAATTTCCTGAGATATTCCAGGAATGAATCTTAAGAGGATTTATGGGACAAAAATCTCACCAGTGTTCAAGACCAGCCCTACTATTAGCACCAGAAAACCAGTAATTAAATTTGTCAAGAACAGGTTTGAACAGGTTTCTCATGTGGGCAAAAGTTTTGAGTTTAAGCTGTTATGACCTGACCTTGCTAGGAATATAGAGCAGTATATGGTATAGTTAATTACGCTTAATGTCATGTTACTTGACATTCTTACAAGTTGAAAATATACTATCAGGCAGCAGCCTTTAAAAAGAAGTCTTGTTCTAAGGATAGAAATGTCTAAACCCACTCATACTGCATTTTCATTATAAAGGAGCAGTATAAGCACTTAGGACATGAAGTACTGACACACTTTTAAATGCAAAAATGAAGCATTAATACTAAACCAAAAGTGACTCAGCCTCTCGGTTCATACCAGCTCCCTTCATTACATCTTCAGGACACAGGTATCATTACATCTTCAGGACACAGGTTAGAAAATAACTAGAATATCTTACTGCTTCAAAACAAAGTTACAATCACCGGCACCTGTATGTTGTAGTGTTTTTTAGACAAACACACATTCCATCTCACCATTTTCCTAGAGTTATTTCTGTAAAGCACATCATTAGTCTCCTTTTTAAATTTAGCATATACACTGAATAACTACACCTTCACAGAAAAATGCCAATACGCTTTATGTCTAAAGAAAGTTGAAAGAGAGATTCTTCATTCTTCTCGTGTGGGACAGGAGGACACAGACGAAGCCAAGAAGAAAAGCGGATGTTCCCCACATTTAATGCGTACAAATAACGCCTGAAGGCTCTTATCCTCCTGGTCTCAAAGACGAGTGGAGGAATTTTGTCCATTTATTAATTTCTCACAGACACTGAAAAACAAGGTCTTAAGAGAAGAACCCATCTCCAGTAACCTAGGGAAGCTGTCAACTGATCCAAGAGAAAAACCCAAGGTGGCTCGTTTCTGACGCTATGCTCAGTACTATAGTCGTAACTGTCTAACTGGGAAGGTCATGGTATACTGTGAGTTGCGAACTGGATGCTCTCGCTTCTGCCACAGTATCAAGCCTCACTTTCCAAACTGCAATAAATAAGAGAGTTTGTAATACTACCTGAGTGTATTCCAACGACTGCCAGAGGGAAGCAGCAATTTCAGGAGATTTTCCAAAAGCTGCAAGGGTCTTGAGCAGCTCTGCTTTTAGAACAGGGGGAATGCTACATTGCAGGAGTCCCAGGATCACCACAACCGGGGTCCACTGAGGATGCTCACAGAGTGCCAGACGAGCATTTTCACTCTGGGAATTGAACACAAAAAGAACAAGGACTTTCCATTTTTTAAAGCTAAGAAAAATGACCAGCAATAATCTAAATTGCTAGCACTTATACCGAGTATTCAAAGCCCTAATACATACTAAAACAAAGAGAAGCTTATGGCTTATGTGTGAAGTCTATCAGTGGATCATATCAGATTACTGCTCAGTCAATGTAAACAAGAGGGGAGAAACAGCCTTTTACAATTCCTTTTATAGCTCTAAGCGTGGAAAATAATACATATGAGATAAATGGTCGGCCAGGGTCACATAAATCTTAACCTAAGCACTGTCAATCCTGCCTGAAACAATGTAATATATTTTTTACTATATGAATAAGTGCCATTTCAATTTTTGAGAAAAAAATGAAGATATATATGGTATCAAATACCATTCCGTTTTAATTCAATAAGAAGTAATTACTATCTTCACGTTTTAATGTTTAATAATGTTAATCCTGGAAAAACTAAAAGGCCCTATTCCTATCTTCAAGACAGAATGTCTACACAACTTTGCTCTAGGGTATAAGAGAAACAAGTAGAAGAGATTTCTGAGCAGAGAAATTATATAATGAAACTAATGTCTCTTATGAAGACTAATTTGGGGGGCTCCTGGGTAGTCCAGTTGGTTAAGCATCTGACTCTTGATTCTGGCTCAGGTCATGGTCCCCCCGGTTGTTGAGACTGAGTCCCGAGTCAGGCTCTACACTAGCAGCACAGAGCCTACTTGGGATTTTCTCTCTCTCTCTTTCTCTCTCCCTCTCCCTGTCTTCCCCCCGCCACCCCGCCCATCCCCTGTTTGCACATGCTCTCTCTCTCAACATAAATAAACATTTAAAAAAAATTTAAAGACTAATTTGGCAGTAGCAGGTGAGATGGTTTGGTGTAAGGAGAGAATAAAAGAGTAATTCAGTAAATAACTTTTCTTTTTAATTAAAAATATTCTTGGGGTGCCTGGGTGGGTCAGTCAGTTAAGTGTCACACTTCGGCTCAGGTCATGATCTCATGGTAAGTGAGTTCAAACCCTGTGTCCGCCTCTGTGCTTATGGCTCAGAGCCTGGAGCCTGCTTCAGATTCTGTGTCTCCCTCTCTCTGCCCCTCCCCCCACTCTCTGTCTCTCTCTCTCTCTCTCTCTCTCTCTCTCTCTCTCTCTCTCTCTCAAAAATGAATAAACATTAAAAATAATGATAATAAAAAATTTCTTGGGGCAGGGCACCTAGGTAGCTCAGTTGGTTGAGCGTCTGACTCTTGATTTTGGCGCAAGTCATGACCTCATGGTCATGGGATCCAGTACTGCAATGGGCTCGGTGCTGAGCATGGAGCCTGCTTAAGATTCTCTCTCTCTCTCTCTCTCTCTCTCTCTCTCTCTCTCTCTCTCCCCCCCCCTCCGTCCCCTCCCCTGCTCTCTCTCTCTCTCAAACTAAAAATTTTTTAAAGTAAAAATTGAAAAAAAATTCTTGGGGCACCTGCGTGGCTCAGTCGGTTGAATGTCCGACTGTTGATATAGCTCAGGTCAAGAACCTAGGGTCATGGGATTGAGCCCCACATCAGGCTTTGTGCTCAGTGTGGAGCCTGCTTAATATTCTCTCAATGTCTCTGTCTCTGTCTCTCTCCCCTTCTGCCCCCTCCCCTGCTTGCGCTTTCTAAAATTTAAAAAAAAAAAAAAATTTTTTTTTTAAATATTCTTTACGCATAGATACACACCAACAAATATCTACGCTAGGGAACCTTCTAGAAGGATGTGAATCCAAACACTGATTCTTATTTGCCCTTCTATTTTCTTTCAGGCACATGCTATTTATTGTTTTCACATTAGCTGACAGCAATAAGTAGAGCTACCGTTACATCCTCTGAAGGTAAAGAAACACAGAACCTAAAAACAGAATTCTGTGTGCAAAACTCATCACTTATAAACTTCAAACATTTCACAAACGTCTGGGATCCTCTTAAAATGCCCCCGTGCCAGAAAACAAATAAAATTAAACTCTTACATACTGTGGATGATAATTACCCAAGTAATGATGGTGGATGTGAGCTGTAAAAAGGCAATGAGTCCATCCTGCTCCTTCTGGGTGATGCCACGTGAAGGAAGGTGACGGTACTGGACACTATCTGCACTTGGAAGATCCTTCCGGAGATGCTCATGGTAAAGCATTAAGGAGTGAAAGAAATGTTCCCAGGAAACAGGACTGCCACCTGTTCCCTGAATATTTTCAACTGTAAAGAAAGACAGCATAAAATTTTCTTTCAAAAATGTCTATGCATTTGCTTGGAAATGGAGGGAGAAAATAAACTGAAAACAATAAACTGTGCCTTTATCCTAGATAAGCAGAGTATGTTGTCTTGTCTAGAATAAGCAGTGTGTTGAAAATGGGGTAGAATCCATCTGTGAGCTGAGTCTCTGGATTAATTTTTCTTCAGGGCTAAGAACAGGTAGTACCCAGGCACATGCAAAGGTAAATTACTTTGATGTCAGTTACCTATTTTATATCCATAAGAGTTCTCTGTGTTGTCCTGTGACTACACGGGGCTCCTTTCCCCAACAGCTAATTCCCAAACGTGAGCTTAAATTCCCACAGACAGAGATAAGGACAGTCTAGATTTGTAATTTACACTACTCCACTACATACCAAGCACAGGGCAAGATAAGCAGGCCTTGACAGAGTAGCCAAAACACTGGCCTTGGAGCTAGGCAGAGCTCAATTCCAATCATGGGACCTACCAAGCAGATGTTTATAACTATTTCTTTCTCTTCTCTTTTCCAGTGTTTCAATTTAACCAGACTCAAGTCTGAAAATTAAGTGAGGAAACTGGGAGAGGGTTGACAGAGAAACTGTAAGAAGGGAAATTTAGAAAACAAGTACTTATGAATTTAAAAAACCCAAAATCATATGGCAAGGGTATATAGTATACGTTGAATACCAGATGTGTTCTTGAAGTTTTTATATATTAATTCTGATTTCTTAAACTGAATTGTATTTAACAAAGTCAATGGTAAAACTCCCCAACCTATGAGACCATAATTAAGGCATCACTATGCATAAAGCTCCCAAGGTACTTCTTTCCCATTATTATAAAAATAATTTATACACCTAGTAAAACTTAGTACAAGTAACCAATATTCTTTAACAGGCAGGGGAATAGTGAGTTCAAGAATGTCATGGGGCACCTGGGTGGTTCAGCTGGTTAAGCGTCCAACTCTTAATTTTGGCTCAGGTCATGATCTCACAGTTCGTGAGATTGAGCTCCATGTCAGGCTCCATGCTCACAGCACAGAGCCTGCTTGGGAGTCTCTCTCTGACCCTCCCCCGCTCATTCTCTCTCAAAAAACCCAAACAAAACAATGTCACAACAAACTTAGATAACATCCAAGTTTCTCTTACCGTGACTACTACCATTGACTTTAAGCAGGCTGAAACAGTAGTGGGCGCACTGGGGCCCATTGGCTAATCCTTGGAGCATTTTCAAATAAGGAATGTAAATCGTTGGAGGCAACAGGTCACCCATTTGCCTAACAAACTTTGACAAGACGACCTGAATTAGGGAAAAATCAATAGTTTACATAGCATGGACTAACTAGTGAAGACTACATATGAACTAAAACTAAGTGCACTGATCTAATGCCTCAAAGATAAAATAATTTGGTATTCTACTTATGAAAAATTATTTTTTCAAGATTGTCACTAGCAACTTAATCAATTATAGAATTTTCTGTGAACAAAAAGCACATTTGTTTCAAAACATCTCAATGCCACAGAACATAAGGCTACTCACATTTTAAATATGTAAAACAATCGAAGAAATTTACTCCTCTAAAATAAACCAGCAAAGTCAAATATACTTGGCACCCATGGTTCCTGAATCCCAGTCAAATTTAGTATGAAGACCTAGGAACCTGAAATAATTTTGGAGGGTAGCCTAAAAATACTGTTTTCTGTTCTGGCTAATACCACATTCCCACATTCCTGTTCTGTAAATCCACTTCTTAGTTTTCCCTTTTATCTTTGCTTATTCCTTAAATCTATTAACAAATAAAAGTGCTATTCAGACACTCAGTCTCATTGGTTGGATTTCAGAACTGAAAATGTTACTGGTCTCTGGAAGTTATTGTTAAATCTATTAGAACAGTGATTTTTCTAATTATGGAGAAAATTATCCTTATTTTTAAGAGACAGTCACTTATCCAGTAAAAGGTGAAATGTCATGCTGTCTATAAGTTACTTTCATGTACTCCAGAAAAATAAAAGTAGTAAAAATAACAGCAGTGGATGAAGCAAACGAGGCAAAATGTTAATAGCTGTTAAATTAAGATGTTGGGTGTTCACTATAATTATTCTCTCTTCCATGTTTCAAATATTTCATAATATAAGGATTTTTTTTAATCTTCAAAAATTTTAATCACTCCTTCTCCAAGACATTTTTGTAAATGGGGAGAAAAGTGAAACAATAAATGTAACAACTGCAGTAAAAAGAAAAGGTGTGTGATCTCAGCCTCTAGCATAACTAAAAATTATTCAACGTGAAAGACTCCAGAATAGGAAATCCCAAAAGATGAAGATCAATACTGCAATCCATCTTATTTGCTGTGTATCATACTTTAGTTAATATAGGACAGAAAATGGACTTTTTCCTACATTTTTTACTGATTCATTTTGTCATCAATTCTAACTTCTCAGCCTTTCCTTTTAGTACCTACACCTATCCTAACCTCCCCAGCTTGTTAAGAATGGTGTATATTGGGTTATTGTCATGCCTATTGGGGACAAACTAATAAATAAATACCAGTAACATTCAAGCAAGTGACACACAGAAAGACTAGACACCTGTCTATGATTGGACACATAGCTAATATGTTACCTAAGACTGACTACATAAACTCCAAAATGATCAGAACTTAAATTTAACACTTTCAAATTTCAAAAAGGAAAAAAGTGCAAATTTCTAAATGTTACACAAGTAGTCATTTGTGTTAACAGCAATTAGGAATTAACATTTCTTCACGGTTCAAGACTCCCACTTACACCAAGGCAGAAAAACAGAAAAACTAAGAGCTTACCTGGCGTTGAGGGGGTCGCTGATGAGCCACCCCAAGGTAAGAACCTATGATAGTGGAAGTCTGAAGAGGCTCTGAGGGACACCAATATTCCAGAGCAAGCTCCAGATTAAAAGGGTTCTTTTTATATAGCTCACCAATCTGCAAAGAATAAGCAGACACTGGGTGAAAATGCCTCTAACTCAGAAATCACCTTGAAATGAAAATTTACATTTTTATGGAACTCAATTATTTAAGATCTTACAGCTGAACCTTTCCAAAGTTAGGGAGTAAATAATGGAAGGAGGGAGAGATGACCATGCATCCAGTGTAATGGCTTACCAAGAGCATTAAGTGTTCCAGATCCCTTCTAAGTGAAATGGGAGGTTCATTACCCATCTGCATACTCATGTGAATCATTCGAGCATCTTCATCTGCCCGATTCCTCAACTGTTTTACCTATTAAATGCATTGCATACAGTTTAATAAGGAAATTTATTATATGGGTTAATAATACTGAAAACAGGAAACCAGCCAACTGTCTAAAAGTGATTACACAAGAGAAAACCTGTTATAACGTCTATTCCACTTTAATGACATAACAAAATATACTAGGAATTTTAGTATGATATCACCATCCATAATTTATATCTTAAAACTTCAATGCATTTTCCACTACAGAGAAAGTGAGTTTAACAACAGTGTTTCTGAACGGGAACATTACTACATTTTAGACAGGACATTTCTTCACTGGGCTGGATCATCCTGACCACTGCAGCACAGTTTAGCACCCCTGAGCTACCTCCTGGCTACCAACAACTCCACCACAGATATTATAACAAGCAACACTGGTGCCATTCATTTCCCCAGCATGCTCTGAACGCTATTATTGCCCTGGCTGAGAACCATTACCTTATAAACATTCATGTGAACTGGGGCGCCTGGGTGGCTCAGTCGGTTGAGCATCCGACTTCGGCTCAGGTCATGAGCTCACAGCTCTTGAGGTCGAGCCCAGCATCGAGCTCTGTGCTGACAGCTCAGAGCCTGGAGCCGGCTTTGGATTTTGTGTCTCCCTCTCTCTCTGCCCCTCCCCTGCTCATGCTTGCTCGTATGCTCTCTCTGTCCCAAAAATAAGTAAACGTTAAATAAAAAATTTTTTTAATAAAATAAAAGGGGGGGGGGCGCCTGGGTGGCTCAGTCAGTTAAGCATACTACTTTGGCTCAGGTCACGATCTCAGAGTTCATGGGTTTGAGGCCATTGGGCTCTGGACTGGCAGCTGGGAGCCTGGAGCCTGCTTCAGATTCTGTGTCTCCCTCTCTCTCTGCCCCTTCCCAACTTGTTCTTTCTCTCTATCAAAAATAAATAAACTGGGGCGCCTGGGTGGCGCAGTCGGTTAACCGTCCGACTTCAGCCAGGTCACGATCTCGCGGTCCGTGAGTTCGAGCCCCGCGTCAGGCTCTGGGCTGATGGCTCGGAGCCTGGAGCCTGTTTCCGATTCTGTGTCTCCCTCTCTCTCTGCCCCTCCCCCGTTCATGCTCTGTTTCTCTCTGTCCCAAAAATAAATAAAAAATGTTGAAAAAAAAATTTGTTTTAAAAATTTTTAAATAAATAAATAAATAAATAAACATTAAAAAACAAAAAGCTAGACAAACCCACAATTACAGGTGAGGATTTCAACACTCCTCTCTCATTATTTTTTAATATTTAGTTATTTTTGAGAGAGAGAGACAGAGCACAAGCAGGGGAGGGGCAGAGAGAGAGGGAGACACAGAATCCAAAGCAGGTTCCAGGTTCCAAGCTGTCAGCAAGAGCCCAATGCAGCACTTGAACTCACGAGCTAGGAGATCATGAGTTGAGCTGAAGTCAGAAGCCCAACCAACTGAGCCACCCAGGCGCCTCCCTCTCTCATTATTCAATAGAACGAGTATGTGAAATTAGTAAGGACGTCGAAGACTTAAACACTATTAGCAACTTTACCTAACTGGCATTTACGGAATACTCCATATAACAGCAACAGAATATACATTCCTTTCATGTGCACACAGGACATTTTCCAAGTTGACCATATTCTCAAACATAAAACTAACCTCAGCAAATTTAAGATAACTGAAATCCTATAAAGTATGTTCTCTGACCACAACTAAAATAACCTAGAAACCAGTTGCAGAGAGACACCTAGAAGCTCCCAAATATTTGGAAATTAAACAATGCCACTTCTAAATAACTCATCGATCAAAGAAGCCTCAAGGAAAATTACAATACATATTAAATTGAACAAAAAAGAAAGCAACATATCAAAATTTATGTGACACAGCCTAAAGCAGTAATTAAGAGATAAGTGTTCTAGAGAAACTGAAATGAGAAGCGAAAATTAAACCCAAAGCAATAGGGAGAAAAAAATAAAGAGCAGAAATCAATGATAGCAAAACAAAGTAAAAGAAAATCAAGGAGGGGCGTCTGGGTGGCTCAAGTGGGTTAAGCGTCCGACCCTTGATTTCAGCTCAGGTCATGATCTCATAGTTCGTGAGTTCGAGCCCCACATTGGGCTCTGTGCTGACAGCACAGGATCCTCTCTCCTTCTCTCTCTGTCCCTCCCTCCCCGTCTCAATAATAAATAATAAAACATTAAAAAAAAGAAAAGAAAAGAAAAGAAAATCAATGAGGCCAAAAGGTGGTTCTTTGGAAAGATCAATAAAATTGATAAGCCTCTAGCCAGGCTAATTAAGAAACAAAAAGGGAAGATACAAACTATCAAACTTAAGAATAAGAAAGGAAACATCATTACAGAACCTATATACATGAACAGTATAATAACGGAGTATTAGGAATAACTTTAATGTCAATCAATCTGAACGAAAAGGACAAATTCACTGACAGATACAAACCAGTTTGTTCAAGAAGAGACAGATAACCTAAATACTCCTGTATCAAAAAAAACCCTCCAGTATCCCCAATTGTGTGAATTGTTTACCCTATTCAAACCACTGATTATCTTTCCATAATCAAAGTCCCATCTGGACTACTGATTAGGAAAAACTTTAAGTCTTAAGCTTTCTAAGGCTTCATTTCTACAAATGTAAAATCAAAGGATTAGCAGGCTTCTTCCTATTCCAAAATTCTGTGGTGTTAATCTATCAAGTCCTCCAAGGTACTGAGAGTTCAGGTTATCTGTTAAAGTATTCCTTGAATGGGGCACCTGGGTGGCACAGTCGGTCAAACATCCAGAGTCTTGATTTCAGCTCAGGTCATGATCTCACAGTTCATGAGATTGAGCCCCATGTCAGGCTTGGGATCCTCTATCTCCCTCTCTCTCTGTCCATCCCCTGCTCATGCATACATGTGCTCCCTCCCTCTCTCTCTCTCTCAAAATAAATAAACTTAAAAAACGTTCTTCCAAGTATTCCTTGACTATTCTAGTCCTAAGGGAGCTATCCTTAGCCTATATAAATTCATAGTAGTTTACTATCTATACCTCTCATTTACCTACTTTTACTACCTAATCTCTCCAACTAGATTCTTAATTCTTTGCTGATAACGAATGAGTCTCCTACTTATTGGTCTTCTTCACAACACCTAGAATACATAGTACCTGGCACACAGAAGAAACTCAACAAACACTTAATTCGTTAAATAATGAATAAGCACTGCACTCCTTGTTTGTTGCCATTTGAGGTACCTTTTCCATTTGCCTTACGTGTTTCAGGAGGTATGGTACCAAAACCACACAATATTACAAATGTAGGTACTCTGGGGTGCTTTTTTATGTTTTATTTATTTATTTTAACATTTGTTTATTTATTTTGAGAAACAGAGAGAGCTCAAGCAGGGGAGGGGCAGAAAGAGAGGGAGACAGAGAATCCCAAGCAGGTTCTGCGCTGCCAGCATGGAGCCCAACACGGGGTGTGAACCCACGAACTGTGAGATCATGACCTTAGCTGAAGGCAAGAGTCAGACGCTTAACCAAATGAGCCACCCAGGAGGCCCTGGGGTGCTTTTTAAAATACACACATAAAAAGTGAATTCATAGGGCTTTACTCCCTCATTTACTTCCTGCCCCCACTTTGATGGCTTTCTTGGCACAACACTGCACAAAACACATACACTCTCAAGAAACCATCTGACATGGCTCATAGTTATAGATCATACTGATAGCTTGAATTCTTTATTCAAAAGTAGCCTTTGCATTACTTGTAAGCAAGCAGAAGCCCATTTATACACTAATTAAGAGTCTAAACAATTATCTATAAAACTGGAAATTTTCCACTATGGCTCTTCCAAATCATATGTAAAAATATATCAATAAGGCAAACCTAAGCACTGATCCCTGGGATAGCATGGTATTAATACTTTTCTACCCATAGTGATTTAACTATTACTTTCTCCTTATTAACTATTCTCAGTGTCAAATATATTGTTCTTTTAAGCTTATTCTCAGTTAACAGGTCTTATTTCATTTTCATGAATTACTAATTCAAAAGCTGTAACACAACTATTGTCAAATTACAGTCTGTAGTAAAATATTTTACTAGTTTCTAAAACATAAAGTTAGCTAATTGATCGGTTCTATTATTTCATAAAAATCTTCTACTACTTTTTACTCATCCTATATTATTACACATACCTTCATTGGCATAAGTGCAAGGAAATCTGTGATGAGATTATGGATTCTACGAATATAAAATTCCTCCTGATAGAAGTTTTCTGACACCACCACGGATTCAGTGAGAAACAGGAAAACATTGTCAGCAATTGCAAGCTCTGCCATTGCTTCATCTGCTTCTGTGAATTCAGCCAGAGCTAGAAATATATTTTAAAAAACAGCACATGGAGAAAAAGTTATTAAACTAGACTATAGTATTTCATAATACTCTGCTGATGTTTCAAAATTCAGGTTATCTTCTCAACCTTCAAGCATGTCTATGTTAAAACTAAGACTGTACCCACTGTAACTGACTCACAAACTCAAAAGAGCTACTGAAAAAGTACATTAGAAAACCATGGGGCACCTGGGTGGCTCAGTCAGTTGAGCGTCTGACTTCGGCTCAGGTCATGATCTCGCAGTTTGTGACTTCAGGCCCCACATCGGGCTCTGTGCTGCCAGCTCAGAGCCTGGAGCCTGGCCGGCTTTGGATTCTGTGTCTCCCTCTCTCTCTGCCCCTCCCCTGCTCATGCTCTGTCTCTGTCTTTCAAAAATGAATAAACACACACAAAAAAATTTTTTTAATAATGAAAGAAAGAAAGAAAGAAAGAAAGAAAGAGAAAGAAAGAAAGAAAGAAAGAAAGAAAGAAAGAAAGAAAGAAAGAAAACCATGTACTCCTATTGACAATAGCCAAAGTACGGAAAGAGCCCAAATGTCCACTGACTCATGAATGGAAAAAGAAGATATAGTGTGTATATATGTATGTGTGCGTATACACACACACACACACACAATGTTGTATATGCGTGTGTGTGTGTATATATATTGTAAAAACACACACACACAAACAGAATTATTACTTGGTGATCAAAAAGAATGAAATCTTGCCATTTGCAACAATGTGAATGGAACTAGAGTGTATTATGCTAAGTGAAGTAAGTCATTGAAAGACAAAATACCATGATTTCACTCATATGTGTAGTTTAAAAAACAAAACAGATAATCATAGGGGAAGGGAAGTGAAAATAAGATAAAAAATGAGAGGGAGACAAGCCATAAGAGACTCTTAAAATACAGAGAACAAATGGAGGGTCGCTGGAGGGGGCGTTGGGTCAGGGGATGGGCTAAATGGGTGATAGGGATTAAGGAGGGCACTTGGGATGAGCAATGGGCATTCAAAGTACTAAACTCTATCCCAGAAATCATTATTACACTATATGTTAACCTGGATTTAAATGATAAACCAACCTTGAATTCCTGTAAGAAACAACACTTGGGAGAAAGAAGAAGAAAAAGAAAAAGAAAACCATGTGCTCTTCTCAGTAACATGAGTGATAAATAATTTCTTCAGAGATACATGATGTAATACTGAAATAATCAGGGAATTATTATCAAAATATTAACAAACTGATGCTTTAATCTCAATGAAATGAACTAGATCATTCAGAAAAAGTCTTCACAACTAATAAGACCAAAACCTGAACATGACCACCTAAGTAACTCTTCTAATTTGGTAACCAAGTAGCAAAACTTAAAAACTAAACCTTAACCTAAAGACAAACTGGTCTACTTGTAACTTTTTTTAGCTTTTTATTTGAAAAACTTCAAACAGGTATCTATCAATATATAGACCAATATAATGAAAACCACACACCCATCATCTAGCTTCGATATTATCTATCCATTTACAGTTAATTTTATCTCCTCTAGCTCTCCATGCGTTTCCAAATTAGATGAAAGCAAATGCCAGACTATTCAATATTTCACTCATAAGTATTTCAGTATACAACTCAAAAAGATTCTTTAAAAACAAAAGAAAAATAAGTGATACATACAAATACCATTATATCTCAATATCATTAAATCTTCAAAAAATTCCTATCAAATATCCACAAAGTAATCAAATTTACAACCGTCCCATGAATGTTATAAAAGATATTAGTTTGGATTTTTGCTTTTTGTCTTTTGTGCAATCTGTTTGCTTGAATCAGGATCCAAATAAGATCTACAGATTGCGTTCGAGTGATACATCTGTAGTGGGCTCCTCCTGTATCTTTTCAATTTTTCCCTTGCCCTTATCTGCAGTAGAAACTAGACTTTTATCCTGTAGAGTTTCCACAATGGTTTGACAACCATCCCAGTGGTACAGTTAACATATTCCTCTGTCCTCTGTTTATATTAAAAGTTGGCAGTTCGATCTACAGATTTTACTTATGTTCAATTTTTTGGTAAAATATGTCATAGGTACCGTTATGTCCTCAAGAAACAGATTGCTATTTACTTCTTTTAAATGTACATATAAATTGCGGGGCGCCTGGGTGGCGCAGTCGGTTAAGCGTCCGACTTCAGCCAGGTCACGATCTCACGGTCCGTGAGTTCGAGCCCCGCGTCAGGCTCTGGGCTGATGGCTCGGAGCCTGGAGCCTGTTTCCGATTCTGTGTCTCCCTCTCTCTCTGCCCTTCCCCCGTTCATGCTCTGTCTCTGTCTGTCCCATAAATAAATAAAAAACGTTGAGGAAAAAAAAAAAAATGTACATATAAATTGCTAGGTAACCTTGTGGGAATCCGGCTTTGGATAAGAACTGCGACATAGTTTATTCTGCTTGAGCATCATACAAATCAAATACATAGTGCGCTACTCAAAGTACATTTTCTTTTTCCTTTTCTTTAAGAAAGAGAGAGTGCGAGCAGGGGAGGGACAGAGAGAGAGAAGAGAATCTTAAGCAGGTTCTGTGCTGTCGGCACATAGCCTGATGTGGGGCTCAAACTCACAAAACTGTGAGATCATGACCTGAGCCAAAATCAAGTCAGACACTCTGACTGAGCAATCCAGGTATCCCTCAAAGTACCACCAATTTTCATTGCCTTGGAAGGGGTCAGGAACAGATAGAAGCCAAGAGCCTCAACCAGAGGAAAATAATGAGCTTTCATGTTTTATTTTGCATTTTGAAATAAAGCCTACCCATACCATACAAACTCCTTGAGAACAAAATAGTTGTTTTTATTTTGACTAATAATACTTATTAAGATTATAAATTAAATATTAATAATAATTATTAATTACAAACCTTCACTTGAATTCAGAAATACTGGAATTAAAACTGCATGATGATCAATTCAAGAACTATTTCTTGAAGACTATTTAGGTAATAAAGCAGCATTAATATCTAAATTCTAGCACTTTTTTAAAACAAAATTTTTTTTTTTTTTAATTTTTTTTTTTTTTAACGTTTATTTATTTTTTTGGGACAGAGAGAGACAGAGCATGAACGGGGGAGGGGCAGAGAGAGAGGGAGACACAGAATCGGAAACAGGCTCCAGGCTCTGAACCATCAGCCCAGAGCCCGAAGCGAAAACAAAATTTTTTTAATGTTTATTTATTTATTTATTTATTTTTATTTTTTATTTTTTTAATTTTTTTTTCAACGTTTATTTATTTTTGGGACAGAGAGAGACAGAACATGAACGGGGAAGGGGCAGAGAGAGAGGGAGACACAGAATCGGAAACAGGCTCCAGGCTCTGAGCCATCAGCCCAGAGCCCAACGCGGGGCTCGAACTCACGGACCGCGAGATCGTGACCTGGCTGAAGTCGGACGCTTAACCGACTGCGCCACCCAGGCGCCCCAGTTTATTTATTTTTTTAGAGAGACAGAGACAGGATGCGAGTCGGTTAGGGGCAGAGAGAGAGAAAGACACAGAATCTGAAGCAGGCTCCAGGCTCTGAGCTGTCAGTACAGAGCCCGACGCGGGGCTCAAACCCACGAGCCGTGAGATCATGACCCGAGCCGAAGTCAGACGCTCAACAGACTGACCCACCCAGGTGCCCCTGAATTCTAGCACTTTTTAAAATTCAAATTTCAGAAACTTTTTTAGTTTAAAAATGTTTAATTATAGTACCCCTAATTATCAAACTTATAAAAAAATATGAACACGTAAAACTAAAGAGAATAAGTAGCTAAAGATTTGGGACTCGAAACTAGGTATGGAATCCTAAGCCTATTCTCATCAATAGCAAACTGTAACACATTCTTCTGTACCCTTCCAGATGAGGGCAAGAGTACAGTAAATCACAATATATGAAGTTAAGTACCACATACCCACTTAAAAGTTTAAAAGATAATTTTATGCCAGACAAGTGTTAAAATGAGACTTGCAAATGACTAAGAGGTATAGTTCAGAAATAGAAGTTATGCACGAATATGAATGTCTAATTAGCCATGAATTAGCTTTAATATAAAAAATACTTGGCCGGCGCGCCTGGGTGGCTCAGTCAGTTAAGCGCCTGACTTCGGCTTGGGTCATGATCTCGCAGTCTGTGAGTTCGGGCCCCACGTCAGGCTCTGTGCTGACAGCTCACAGCCTGGAGCCTCCTTCGGATTCTGTGTCTCCTTCTCTTTCTGACCCCACCCTTCCATGCTTTGTCTCTGTCTCTATCTCTCTCTCTCTCTCAAAAATGAATAAACATTAAAAAAAATTTTTGAAAAAAAATACTTGGCCAAAGGAAGACCCCCTAATACAAAAAAAAAAAAAAAAAAAAAAAGCTTTCTGCAGTCTCCTTGTGAACAGTAGGGCACTAGTGAACAAAACGTTCTAGATTCACATAATTGATAAGATACTAGAATCTGTTGACACTCCACAACTAGAAAACACTGATATGGATAATAAACCTTAATAAAATCTTTCCAGATCTACCATAAAAACAAGTGACAGTTCTTTGGGCTTCAAATTACAACAAAAACATAGTTCTCGTCCTGTTAAACCACTATAGTATGAGAATTACATGAATGTCAACAGCAGAACAGGATATGCTATAGTCGGTCATAGACTATTAAAGTCAGACTTCCACATCCATTCTTAGCTGATCCAAATATCTCCTTTCTAATGTATTTTCTTTTAAAATAATACTAGTTTTTAATTTGTGAAAAATTATTTTGTGAAACCAAGGAAGAAAACGTAAAAAAAAGAAATCATAAATTTTAATTTAAAAAATTATTGTGATACTGCCATTTCAAAATTTTACTTTTTTTTTTTTTTTAACGTTTTATTTTTTATTTTTGAGAGAGAGACAAAGTATGAGTGGGGAGGGGCAGAGAGGGAGACAGAATCTGAAGCAGGCTCCAGGCTCTGAGCTGTCAGCACAGAGCCCAACGCGGGGCTTGAACTCACAAACTGTGAGATTGTGACCTAAGCCAAAGTCGGACGCTCAACTGACGGAGCCACCCAGGCGCCCCTCAAAATTTTACACTCTTAAGGGAAAAAAGAAACTAAAAGAGCATTGTCACTGGTTCCAAGAAAGGGAAACCATATTTCATAAAATTTCTTTTGAGAGACCAGGACAAAAAAAGTCTGTATTTTACCACATTCCAAAGCTTCATTTAATACAACTCCAGATATCTTCCTATGCTCATGCTTATATGTCAAAGATAACATACCACTCAAGTTGATACGTTCTTTCTCATAAGAGAGTCACCTACAATCAATTTACCTGTCACATCAGGTAGCTGAGATATTCCTCTCAGTGCCAATGCCCAGGCAAGTCGAACCGTGGCTTGCAGCCCAGGCAGTTTCCAAAGCTGTGAGTCCTGAAGGCGGGAATGAATTGTTGCAATGTATTGTCTTTCTGTCAATAGCGGAAGCTGATGAATCATATCTGAAAACACAAAAATAGACCACTATACCAACAAGTAGAGAAATCCTCACTTTTGATACATAGGAATGATGGCTAAAGATCAGGAAATCAGAGTTCAATGAATTATCAAAGAATTAGGACTAACCAAAAAATAGTGTTTGTGTTCGACAAACCAAAAAACACACTACCGTAAAAATTCTATACAAACTAATACTGAAAGAGGCCATTGACAATAATTCTAAATTTTAATTCTTTTTTTCAATGGTTTTTTATAAGTATACTATAAAAATTTTTTAAAACAGTTAAAAAGGCAGTTTTTCTGCATATAAATTCTAAAATCAATGCAATTTAAAGATCAAAAAAGATAGAATTTGGGGTGCCTGGCTGGCTCGATCAGTAATGCAGGCAACTCTTGATCTCGGGGTTATGAATTCGAGGCCCCTGTTGGGTGTAAAGATAACTTAAAAGTAAAATCTTTAAAAAAAAAAAAAAAAAAAGATAGAATTTTACTACATAAATGCCTACATTAAAATATCAAGCAAAAACCGACCAAAACAAGAATTCAAATTGCAAACAAGCATCGACTGTGATTATAACAAATGAAATTGCTAAATAATAATTAAATGATTTTCTATTTACAGTTCAGTCATACTCTGGTATTTCAAACAAGCATAGGATTCTGAATAAAGGTAAAATGGGAGGTTGTGAAATCGAGCCTCGAGTCAGGCTGCACCGGGGTGTGGAGCCTGCTTAAGATTCTCTCTCTCCCTCTTTCTCTGCCCCTCCTCTGCTCTCTCTCTCTCCAAGAAGTCTGGGAGGTTCAGTTGGTTGAGCGTCCGACTTTGGCCCAGGTCATGATCTCACAGTTCGTGAGTTCGAGCCCCACATTGGACTGGCTGTTGTCAGCACGGAGCCTGCTTTGGATCCTCTGTTCCCCTCTCTCTCTGCTCTTTCCCCACTTGTAAACTCTCTCTCAAAAACAATAAAAATTTTTTAAAACTCTAAAATGGGAAACACCACTGACACCTAAGACTTTATTTTACTTATTTTCTTGTCCTTCCTTTTGATGTCAGCGGTTCCCAATCTTTAATACTTTTTTTTTTAACGTTTATTTATTTTTCAGGGAGAGAGACAGAGTGCAAGCAGGGGAGGTGCACAGAGAGAGGGAGACACAGAATCTGAACCAAGGCTCCAGGCTCTGAGCTGTCAGCACAGAGCCCAACGTGGGGCTCGAACTCACGGACCCCAAGATCATGACCTGAGCTGCAGGCGGATGCTCAACCGACTGAGCCACCCAGGCATACCATATTTCTTTTATTTTTTAATGTTTATTTTTGAGAAAGAGAGTGCACACACAGTGGGAGAGAGGTGGACAGAGGGTCTGAAGCGGGTTCTGTGCTGATAGCGGCTTCAGCACAGCGAGCTTGATGTGGGGCTCAGACTCTCGGACTGCAAGATCATGACCTGAGCTGAAGTCAGATGCTCAACCGACTGAGCCACCCAGGTGCCCTAGTGGTTCCCAATCTTTAACCAAGAACACATTCTTTAATTTCCTGTAGTTTGAAAGTTTCTGTCTACTATTATACATGCACTAATAATTCACTTCTCCCATTTATTAATCAAACACATACAGAACGACCAACAAGAAATCACAATTAAAATGAGTTAATCATCAGCATCCTAAATTCATAAAATTAAAACCTAATACAAAAACCTTACATCCTAGCCTATGAAACTTTCCAGGCATTTCATTTCGCTGCTGCAAGTACCACTTACAAGGTTCCACGAACACAGCTTGCCCCCACTTAATTCTGTGCTTCATTTCATTCAATACAGGAAATCTGACCAATGCCTTAAGTGGCAGCATTCCTATACGAGCACAGGCACCACTCTTTTTGTGGCGCACAAAGCACCGTGTGCCAATCTGATTGGAGGAAAGGAGTACTTATGCCTTCCATAAGCCTTCCCTAATGTCTAAGGATGGCCACCAAAGATGAGTGGAAAAGGTCTATTCTCCCTACATACCTACCTATTGAAAGATGCCAACAATACGGTCAAAAGTGGACAGGGGATAACTGTTAGAATAACTATAAACACCTGTGACGCTAAGGGCACTAATCTTCCTCTGCAGGAATCATTTTTGAGATCCTCTTTTCGAAGCAGTAATTATGAATAAGGTCACCAAGTAAAAATTTTATACACTTCAGCGACAACATAAATCAAAGATGATATATTACTAAAAATGATAGTTACCCTCCCCTAGAATGTTTTCATGAAAGGTCTGAAATGTGAATAAAATGTGAAGAAACAAGCAGTTACGTAAATGACGCATGGAGAACTCATGAACATGTATTGCGTAATCTTTATCACTTTCCTATTCCAAAACTGAAAAGGACAATAAAGACATCTAACAGAGCGCAGAATTTTTTAAATGTCATCTTTTATGTAAATACTCAAATATGGATGAACTGCACACACGGGAATAAATACAGGAATAAAATGTACAATTTCTTACGTTAGTTAAAATACTGCCCTTCTTAAATGTTATCTCCATAATTTAATCTCATTTTTAAAAAAGCAAATGTATTAATAGGCATAAAATCCAATACCATCTCGCTCCTCTGTGCTTTGTTCTATAAAACTGATATCAAAGCAGTACAGAAGCGCCATAAGAAGAGCCAGATTCACTGCATCCAACGAACCATTAGCCTCAACTGTCACTTTTTCCAAATGTCCGATAAGAAGCAGTGTGTCATCTTTGCCTAAAGGTGACTGACAAGCCCAGGCAAAAAGGCTTTCTGCCAGAGACTGCCTGCACTCCTTGATAAGATCAGAAACCTAGAAAGAAAAATGTATGATTGTTAGTACACATAAACCACAGTGAAACCACCCGGTCTTCTTCCAAAAATGTAAACTACTTTTTCCAAAGCTAAGCAACTAAATAAATCTATCTGAATCCACAAGTGACCCTAACCTGTCACCTCTGGAATTCTAAACAAACCCTACTGTTAATTCCTCATTTTAAGTTCCAAGCTCTGTTATGGGATGACCAATTTCTTGAAGAGTTCATTCCAGGAAAAGAGCTACGACAGCATATAAGTGACTAGAAAGAAGTGAAAACAGCTACAAGCCAATTTTGGACACAGATGCCTACACATTTTAACGTACGTTAGCAATTTTCTGTGCCCACGTTCTAATTGTTCTAATGGTCATGACTTTTCTGCCCGAGACCTGACATAGACAACCCATGAACAGATGTCAGTGAACCCTTGCCTCTTTTCGATGTTTTTCACTGCCCAAACCTCTCTCCCGCTGTAGCTTCTCAAACTCATTGTTCACATCAATCTGTGACACCAGAGTAAGCACTTTATAAGTCAATCCTTGCTCCATCAGTTCATCTGTAAAGCGCGTTGTCATGGAAACCAGCTCTGGACTGTAACGAAAAGAAATCAATAGAGAAAGTTACAATGAACAGTAATGCATACACTTCTTCACCTTACAGATACAGCAAATGCTGTTGACAATAATGTTACATTACTGGACAAAACAGGATGAATTATAACCCAGCTCTTTTAGTTCTTTCTAGATAACTAGGCATCAATAAACTTCTAAGCATACTTCTTTTTTGTTAACAAATAAAGCAGTTTTAATCTGTTATTCTTTACAGAATAAGGAAGTATTTATTGCTTGGCTATGTTACATATCTTACTTAAATTATACATACTGGAAGGAGAAATTTACGTTATTTCTAATAATAAATTAATAAATCCAGATAATTTTTAATAAAGCCTTGAAATCCTAAGAAGCAAACAGACCTGAGTTCAAGGGTCCACGTCTTTCCTCGTCTAGACTGTATCAAGGCTTTCAGGGAATTTGCAATGCACCGCTTTCCATCCCAGTATAAAAGAACAGCTACTAGTCCTCTGGTGAGACCAGGAAAATGGGGCTGTTGGTGCTCTCCTAGAAAAGGGAGTTGAGAAACAATTTAGTAAATACACACATGTGTGTTTAGGATGAGACCAAAATGACTATGCCAATGTTCAGTTCAAAGAAATCACAGGACCTCGGGGTTCAAGGGGCCCTAAGGGTCCTCTACTTCAAACACCCGTCTACTGTTTTCCTTCTTCCCTAACATCTACAAGAGGCCATCCAACTTGTGCCAGGACACTGGCAGTAATGGAATTCACCATTTCCCAAATGCTCAATCTCACCTTTATCTCTGATTTCTATGTGCTGGGGAATAATCTTTTGGTCTCACTACTGTCCACTGAATCCAATGTTGTTTAATGCCCATTTTACCCTCTTTCACATGAAATCTTTCCAATATTTGGACGTTTCTTCCCCTCAAGTTTTCTCTGAAAATTAACTTTTCCTGTTTCCAGTTCCCTCACCGTTTTAACTGCTCTCTTTTGAGTAATTTCCACTTTGTCTTTTTTAGTTTCAGTTTCATTTCCTAAGATTGTCTTTTCCCCGTAGCACAATCAGTCCACTCTCTCTCGTCCCCAAATTCATTTCACTGCTTCACACTTCTGTGCAGGCCATTTCTTGTGCCTGGATGCCCTTCGTCCTCCTGAATGCACACCTATTCTACTCGACATGTGCCTACTCATATTTCAACACTTACCTTAGGCCGCATGATCTTTATGAAGACTTCTCTGTACACCCTGAGGTCAATTCAATTTAATCTCTTTGCCTCTGGACCATCACTAAATCTTGCATAAACCGGCATTAATGCACCTAATTGTGTCATAATTATTTGTCCCCATGTCTTTCCCAGTTACAAGACTATGAGCTCCTTCACACTATTTGTTTTATTCATGCTTCTCTTCCTGAAGCCTTAACACAGTGCCTGGCCCATGGTAAAAATAAAATAAATGTTAAATCAAAGTTCTGAGTTAAACTAAAACTCAAGCATATCCAGTTAACATTTCCATCACAGAATGGAAAAACTACCTTCCTCATTCTCAATACCGTACTACTCTTAATGCAGCCTTAGGTCAAAAAGGATTTTGGAAGCCACATGACATCTTTAAACATATGAAACTTTTTCAATTAAAACGCCCACGAGAATGCAAGCTGGTGCAGCCACTCTGGAAAACAGTATGGAGGTTCCTCAAAAAACTAAAAATAGAACTACCCTGCAACCCAGCAATTGCACTACTAGGCATTTATCCACAGGATACAGGGGTGCTGTTTCGAAGGGACACATGCACCCCCATGTTTATAGCAGCACTACCAACAATAGCCAAAGTATGGAAAGAGCCCAAATGTCCATCGATGGATGAACGGATAAAGAAGATGTGGTATATAGATATATGTATATATACAATGGAGTATTACTCGGCAATCAAAAAGAATGAAATCTTGCCCTCTGCAACTATGTGGATGGAACTGGGGGGTATCATGCTAAGTGAAATTAGTCAGAGAAAGACAAACATCATATGACTTCACTCATATAAGGACTTTAAGAGACAAAACAGATGAACACAAGGGAAGGGAAACAAAAATAATATAAAAACAGGGAGGGGGACAAAACAGAAGAGACTCATAAATATGGAGAACAAACTGAGGATTACAGGAGGGGTTGTGGGAGAAGGGATGGGCTAAATGGGTAAGGGGCACTAAGGAATCTACTCCTGAAATCACTGTTGCACTATATGCTAACTGATTTGGATATAAATTTTGAAAAATAAAAAAATTTTAAAAATGCCCACGAGGCTTCTTCACAAGGCTCCTCTGCTATAATGAAAATGAATTGCTTACTTTATGGAAATTTCAACTTTTTCTCTATATAGCAGCCAGAGAAATAATTTCAAATTTTTTCTGGATTATGTAACTCTTCTGCTTTAAAGCCCCTGTCAGCAACTTTCCATCGCAATCAATTAGAATAAAATCCAAATAATTTTCCTTGCCTGCAAGACTGAATGTGATCTAATTCCTGCTCTCTCCTTACCCTCCCTCACCCTCCCTGTCTTTGTGAGGCTCCTGCATCCTTCTATCCATGGTCTTTTTATTTTATAGTGTGCCTTTGGCCTCACCCCAAGCACTTGCTGCTTGGTCTGTCTGGGTCACCAACAACTCTAGTACCCTATCATCATGGAGGTCTCAGGTCATATGTCCCAGAGAAGCCTTCTCTAAATACCCTATTTAGAGTTGCCCCCTAGCAGTCCCCCATCTCTCTATAGCCCATTGCCTTGTTTTATTTTCTTCCTAGTAGTATTATTAAAATTCTTATTTTTGGGGCGCCTGGGTGGTGCAGTCGGTTGAGCGTCCGACTTCAGCCAGGTCACGATCTCACGGTCCGTGGGTTCGAGCCCCGCGTCAGGCTCTGGGCTGATGGCTCGGAGCCTGGAGCCTGTTTCCGATTCTGTGTCTCCCTCTCTCTCTGCCCCTCCCCCGTTCATGCTCTGTCTCTCTCTGTCCCAAAAATAAAAATAAAAAAAAAACGTTGAAAAAAAAAAAGATTTATAAAATTCTTATTTTTAACCCATTCGCTTATCTGAACCCCCCCCACCTCAAAAAGAAACTCCAAAAAAGCAGTGACCTTTCTTTCTTACTCATTCTATGACAATAAATTCTTTGTGCTATAAAATTTGTGAGATGAGCCAATGATTCTTTGCTAGTAAATTACCATGTAAAAGCCTATCTTAAAACAGTTAAATTACCTTTCACAACTTCAGTCACTAAAGCCTTCCCATTAGTCAAAGATAAACAAAAGGAGATGTTTTGAATATGATTTTCGAATAAACTGCATCCTTAGAAACTACTCTGGAACCTAAATGATACAACACTATAAATCCTGAGCAAATGACTTTATAGTTCTGTCCTCCCTTACCATAGGGTCAATTAAATGTCAACCTACCGGCGAGGAGAAGCTCAACAGCTGCCAATTCTCCAATATCAAAAAGGTCACTAAGGATAAAGGCTTCTTTAATGAGCTGTTCAGGAAGAAGTCGGGTCCCCTGTTGACCCTGGATGGCGACTCCCTCTGTACTGGCTTTCTGAACCTTTTCGTGTTGTTGGACATTTTTTGGCTACAATGGCAAAAATAAATAAAATCAGGTGATGAAATAGTATCCTGGAGACAAGGTCTTAATTATCACCTAGAGAAGTTAATTCATGATAAGGTAGATTGGTAATGTGACAAAAGAAGTACTGTTTACCAGACAATCTACAATTAGACCTTTATGAGGTAACACTTCCTACTCGTTCCAGCACTTTACGCTATTACTACCTTCTCAATAATTGCCCCTGCTAACCTCTGAAATACAACATTTTGAGAAAGCACCAATAGTATACTATTTTTCAAGTCTGTAAGGAACTTTTCCAGTTATACATTTAATAAATAAAAACATAAGGTCTTCAAGAGGGAAATAACAAATATATACAGGAATTGTTGAATCAATCAGTAGGGCTAGTGATAGTTTATTAGTATATTATGTAAAATGTAGTCTTATTCCCAAAAAAATTCTTACTTGGTTCAGATAGTTAACAAATAACATATAGTACAGAATTATTTGATGGATCGCAGTCTTAGAAATTTACACCTGGAAGAAGGCCACATAGGACATTTAAATCCAACTCCTCTATTAACAGATGGAAAAGCTGATGGATGCCCAGATAAGTCAGGTGACCTCCCTGTCCTACAACTCCAGTGGTAGAGCCAAGACTGGAACTCAGCTCAACTGGCTCCCAGGGTAGGGCTCTTTCTACTAAAGAGAGAAAAAAAAAAAAGCTAAAAAGCAAAAGGTCATTTCTGGTAAGACAAACGGTTCTTGTTAGTCTACAAAAGAAAATTATCAAACAGCAAGGAAAGGAATTTCCAAATAAGAATTCCCTACACTGAAGTATTCTCTTCTTGGTTGAAAGGGATTTCAAGATGCAGTGAGTAAACACACAGGAATTCATTAGTTCAGCTAACACAACTTACATAACATTATGAAGAGTTAAAATGTTGAAAGTGTACCTGGAAATAAACAAAATAATCAATCTCACTGAGCTTAGATATATTAACTATACGTCAGAAATTCCGAGGACACTCACAATTCTGGAATATACTACACTTTATAAATTGCATTCAAATATTACTAAGATATCTCCTGGCTAGAGACAGATACATATTAACTTCTATGGAGAACAAAAAGAAGATAATAACTGCTCCTAGGAAAAATTACAGTTTTAGAGAAAACCTGAATCAGTGGACTAGGACAAGTACAAAAGCATATCCAAGAAGCAAAAAAGAAAATTTCCTACTGGGTTTCTGAACAGTGAGATGAAGTCAGGTTTGTGTTTCTTCAAGATCATGTCAAGAAGGTGGACAGCTTCAGGTTGTCTTCTCCAAAGAGCATTTCCCACTGTTTGCCAAATGTCTTTGTACGGACCCCACAGACTAGCAGCTTCAAGAAAAAAATCGATAAAACCAGCATCAAATAAGACACACATGTGGAAAATAACATAAGGTTACTGTCTACATATTTCAGTCACACTCATCATGGCTACTTTTAAATATGCACTTATACATATAAACCAAACATTACTATACAAGCACACATATCAGATTTCTCAAAAACAATATAAGCATCATTTTGTCTAGCTTAATACAACATAAAGTAAATCCCAACTTGAAAGTGGAATATCTGCTATGGTTTTGCCACTTTATTAGCTGTACGACATGGAGCAAGGAAATAACCTCACTAGATGATACCTACATCATAGGGGCAAAGGGATTAAATGAGATAAACCAGGTAAAACACACATCACAGTGACTGGCATATCATAGGCATTCAATAAATACAAGTCCCTATCATCCAAATAAAAGCAGGAGTAGGGACTAAAGATCAGATTTTGTAAAACTTAGCAGCTCAAAAAAAAAAAAAAAAAAAAAAAAAAGGCAGTTTATTTTGGCTAGGACACTAGCTATTAAAAAACAACACAGAGGGGCGCCTGAGTGGCTCAGTCAGTTAAGTGTCCGACTTCAACTCAGGTCATGATCTCACAGTTTGTGAGTTCGAGCCCCACGTCAGGCTCTGTGCTGACAGCTCAGAGACTGGGGCCTGCTTTAGATTATGTGTCTCACTCTCTCTCTGACCCTCCTCTGCTCACACTCTGTCTGTCTCTCTTTCTCTCTGAAAAATAAAATAAACATTAAAAAAAAATTTTTTTTAAACATAAATATGGAACACTTTTGTAAATTTATACAAGTAATACTGAGCTTTTGCCATGTGCTACTGAGCATGGTTCTGAGCTCTTTCCACGGATTATTTTATTTCAGAACACTATGAGGTCAGCACTCTGTCTTCTTCCATTTTATAGATGTGGAAATTGAGGCAAGAGGGGGCAAGAAACTCACCCAGGGACACACTGGATACCTGGGTTATGAACCCTGGCAGTTTGTCACCAGAATGTGCCTTAACTACTAAACTATATTACTTCTATACCTAACATGTGGAAAATGAAAATGTCTGAAATAAATATAGGTATTTCTGACACATCTGGTAAGTGAAATTAAGATCACATCTAGACATACCTAGGCAAATTCATCTAAACTCAGCCAAATTCACTTATCTAAAAATGTCTTATCTAAAAATGTTTCAGCCCATAAATAAACAATAAAATATTACAGGGGACAGGAGAAACAATCTGATCTTTAAAAACTCAAAATCAGGGGCGCCTGGGTGGCTCAGTTGGTTGAGCATCCGACTTCGGCTCAGGTCATGATCTCGCAGTTCGTGAGTTCGAGCCTCGCGTCGGGCTCTGTGCTGACAGCTCGGAGCCTGGAGCCTGTTTCAGATTCTGTGTCTCCCTCTCTCTCTGCCCCTTCCCCACTCATGCTCTGTCTCTCTCTGTCTCTCAAAAATGAATAAAGTTAACAAAAAAATTTTTTAAAAAAACCTCAAAATCAAATTCTGGAGACAGAGCATACGTAAGTGAAAAATCTCAATAACAATAGTACAAAAAAGGGAATATCATTGTTGACACAAAAAAATAAGAATTTCAAAAGATCAAAATGATGGTCAAGAATTTCTAAGGGATGGCTGCACTTGTGCAGCAATTTGGGGAAAATCTGGGTAACAAAGCACAGCCAAGAGAAAGCAGGAGCTAAGGCTCAAAGGCGGGTGCAAAAGTGTAAACGAGAATTCAAAGAGCCATAGTGGAATTAAAGAGTAACGGCTTTCAAACTTTTGTGACTAGAACCCGCGGTAAGAAATATTCCATATCTCAACCCAGTAACTACATAAAACTGAAAAGTTGTATATAAAATACCAATATTCATTCAATCCATGCACTCTGATATTTTGTATCATGTTATTTTATTCATGAAATAAATTTATGAAATTCATGAAATATATTTTAGACCCACTGTTTGAATAACACTCCCTGAAGACCCAAGTTTCTGTTTGTAAACAATCAGATATGGTGTCCATATGTGTTTATAAAGACTCTGAAAGGGAAACTAGTCAAAACCAATCAGTCACTCCAGAAACATGGAACTAATCTATAGCCTGAACTGTAAACATGTTTAACTTCTCTCTGAGAAAGCACAAATCCAAACAAACCAGGGAAGTAAGACGGCATGATAATGCAACCTAATTAAATGTGTTAAATGTTCACTGTAGTATAAGCAATATTGTCATAAAAAGACAATGCATTGGGAAAATTCTTTTAAGGGGGAAAACGTGCATGGTGAAGAATAGACTAAACTGGTCAAACCACATCATTCATTCACTCAACAAGTATTTACTGAGGACTTCCAATGTGCCAGGGACTACAGACCAAGCAAGATAGACAGTATGCCAGTCCTCATGGAACTCAGAGATTGACACAGAGGAAGACATTAAACACAGAATTCAAAATACAATGATCAATATAATAAAAGATGATGGAGAACTGCTAGGAGAACATATAAAAGGGAGAACCTAGCCTAACCTAATCTGAAGGGGAGGGCAGGAAGCCATAGGTCTTTGGTGTGGGATGTGGGAGATGGGAATCAGCAGGTCTAGACCTCACATTAAGAGTAATCAGTCCACTCCCTGCTTTGCTTCCATTCTTGACAATCTTCTGATTAAAAAATATCATTTATTACGTAAATTTCTAGAGTAAAAGCTGTGCTGACAAACCAACATGAGTACCCATGCAGATACACTTCTCATTAAAGATCAATAAATTGAAATACTAGTTTACATATCTGTCTTTTCTGAGTCTGATTAGAGAAAAACAATGACTAGGATCCAATCAACTCTGGATACACTAACAAATAAGAGCTCAGGCCTGCCAAAACGAGAACCCAATCCCTAAATCCTGTAGACCACAGTGAGGTACTAGTTGGCTGATGACTAGCTGACTCCCCTAGAGATCATTTTCTTAGCTCTCGATACCTGCAAAGGATAGAGTAGGTCTGAGCCTCAGATTCCAGGCCGAGATGGAATTTTTCCTATTAGTAAGTAGAAAAAGTTTCAAGTAGTACGTGACAACACAAAACTCATACTACAGGGCACTGGTGTGGTTGCTGGATTAAGTAGAACACCGAGTGTCAGGAACCAAGGATGACTGGTGGGTAAGCCGCTAATAAGGTGATGCAACCTAAAGGAGGATGAGGGCAGTCAAACCAAAAGAAAAGGCCTGTTAGAAGAGCCAGAACTGGTAACTGATGGGCATGGGGTACAAAAGAAGGTATCAAGGGGTGCCTGGTTGGCTCAGTCAGTTGAGTATGTGACTCTTGATTTCAGGGTAGTGAGTCTGAGTCACCTGTTAGGTATAGAAATATTTAAAAGTAAAATTTGTAAAAAAAAAAAAAAAAAAAAAAGTATCAAAAACGACTCCTAGGCCAGGGGCGCCTGGGTGGCGCAGTCGGTTGAGCGTCCGACTTCAGCCAGGTCACGATCTCGCGGTCCGTGAGTTCGAGCCCCGCGTCGGGCTCTGGGCTGACGGCTCAGAGCCTGGAGCCTGTTTCCGATTCTGTGTCTCCCTCTCTCTCTGCCCCTCCCCCGTTCATGCTCTGTCTCTCTCTGTCCCAAAAATAAATAAACGTTGGAAAAAAAAAATTAAAAAAAAAAGACTCCTAGGCCAACTTGAAATCTGCTTTACCACAGGAATTTAAAAATTCTGACAGGGATGCCTGAGTGGCTCAGTGGGTTAAACATCCAACTCTTGACTTCAGTTCATTTCATGATCTCATGGTTTGTGAGTTTGGGCCCCATGTTGGGCTCCACACTGACAGCACAGGGCCTACTTGGGAGACTCTCTCTCACGCTCTCTGCCACTCCCTCCCTCTCTCTTAAAATAAATTAATTAATTAAAAAAAAATCAGGGCACCTGGGTGGCTCAGTCAGTTAAGCATCAGGCTTCAGCTCAGGTCATGTTCTCATGGTTGTGGGTTCCGGCCCTGCGTCAGGCTGGCTGCTGACAGCTCAGAACCTGGAGCCTGCTTTGGACTCTGTGTCTCCCTTGCTCTCTGCCCCTCCCCCTCCCCCAAATAAACATTAAAAAAATAATAAATAAATAAATAAATAAATAAATAAAAATTCTAACAAAGAGCTGACAAAAGTACATTCTCTTTTCTAAAAGTTAACAATATACAACAGAACCTCTGAAGAACCAATAAATTTCTTTGTGTTAAGCATACTTAGCATTATAAGCTGACTGAGTTCCAGAGAAAAATTGCCCCCCTTTTAGGAGACAAGGAGGAATCCATTAACTGGTCAAAAATCTACCAAAAGCCTCATGTCTACTGGCATCTGAAGTCTGTCATTAACATCAATCCACCACAGAAGGTAAGTGCAACAAAGAGTTTTCATTGGTTTGTCTTTCTTTTTTTAAAATTTTTTCTTTTCAACGTTTTTTTTTTTATTTATTTTTGGGACAGAGAGAGACAGAGCATGAACGGGGGAGGGGCAGAGAGAGAGGGAGACACAGAATCGGAAACAGGCTCCAGGCTCCGAGCCATCAGCCCAGAGCCCGACGCGGGGCTCGAACTCACAGACCGCGAGATCGTGACCTGGCTGAAGTCGGACGCTTAACCGACTGCGCCACCCAGGCGCCCCCATTGGTTTGTCTTAGGTTGGCTAATTTTCATGAATATCTTTCTGTGATTACAAATGAAAAGAGGCTATAAATTCTTCCAAATTACTACTTAGGTAGTAAGTAAATCATTTACATCAGCAAATCACATTTATTCACTCATTTATCACGTACCAGGTACTGGTGAGCTTACAGTGTAGGCACCAAACACAGTAATCATGTAGCCAGACATAAGGGTAATGTCGAACGCGGCCAAGTGCGATGAAGGAAAGGTACCCAGGGCAAGAGATCACAGAAATTGAGGAACCTGACTTGGTCAAGGAGGTCAGGGAAGGCAAGGATTCCTTGAGTAAGTGATGATTAGGACAAAATCTGAAGATGAAGAATGGAGTTAACTGAAGGGTAGCAGGTAAAGACATGCATTCCAGAAGAGAGGACAGCGTGGGTTCCCATGGTAAGAGGGTACCCTGCACTCCCAAAGAAGTGAACAAGCCAAGCGCTAGAGTTCAGAAAACAAGGGTAGGTAAGGGAGGCAACCAGCACAGCAAGCAGAGGTCCCTAGCCCACGTTAAGGATGTTGGTCTACACCCTAAAAGATCAAACAAGATAAAGACTTTAAATGTCTGCTTAGTGCTTAGTGAAACAGAAAAGCAAGTTAACCTTACTGAGAGCTGTTTACGAGGACGGGAAGAGACTAGAGTGAGTAGAGGAAGAAGGGGTATGGAAATGGTACCAGTGAATAGGGACAAATATCTTGAAAGGTCTAACTGTGAAAAAGAGTAAGAGGACGGTAACTGGAACGAGGCATGAGATCAAGATCAAAAGGGGCTAGCCAATGACTGCCAGTGGCCAGAGGGGGTAAAGAAAAAAGATCAAAAGGGAAGGTAAATGGAAAGAGAAGGGTAACAGGGAGAAGGGCATAAAAGGTGGGATTTAACTTAAATACAGGGAAATGGGTAAAAAGGGTACAGATACATCTAGGGTTCTAGGCTTGGGGGTGAACAGAGAGTTCATGCCTATTGGCTTCTATTTTGTTTGTGACTAGGAGGCTGAGGGGTCAGACGGAAGTTACAGATTTCAAGAGTATGGAAAAGGTCCGAGCTAGTCACTGCTCTGAACAGGACAGGGGTGACCAGACTGCCTCGGAAGGCCTGGTTGCTTACGATAAGCCTGTACGACCACTCAGCTGGGAGGATGCAGGTCACAATACCAGTAAATCATGCAGCTGCAACTCAAGCATAGGTCTTAGACATTACAACCTCTACTTTCCCGTCTACGTCTGTGTGATATGTGTGTGTGTGTGTGTGTGTGTGTGTGTGTGTGCGCGCGCGCACGTGCACGCATGTGGGGTAAAAAACACCTAACGCAGAATCTGCAATCTGAAACATCTTTAAGTGTGCAGCTCAGTACTGTTAAGGGCATTCACACTGGGATACAACAGATGTACAGATCTTTTTTATCTTGCACAACTGAAACTCTACCCGTTTAACAACTCTCCGTTTCCCCTTTCCCTCAGGTAACTAACATTCTTTGTTTCTGTGAGATTTGACTACTTTAGATACCAAATACAGATGGAATCATACAGTATTTACTTTTGGGACTGGCTTACTTCACTTAACAGAACGTCCTCAAGGGTTTATCCATGTTGTAGCATGTGACAGGATTTCCTTTTTAAGGGCAAATAATATCCCATTCCAGGTATATACTACGTTTTGTTTATCCCACTCATACATCTATGGCTGTTTATATACACATATATGCATATACATACATACGTATATATATAACATATATATATATAATTTATTCTGACTGTTGGCTGTGAAAAATGTTTCTTTCCTATGGTGTCAATTACACACTCCTGTCACAAGTCCTTATTATACAATGTATACTCTTTGCATTAGTGGGTAACTCCTTTTCTTCCTTTCTTCAATAATTTACGTTTACTGATAGTAACTTGGGACATGTACTAAAGAAGGGATATAACCACACACACAACATGCAAGCCCTGCTTTTATGATTACATCTGGGTAGGAGACTGGGACAGCAATACTAAGAACAGAACTTCATTACCAGCATCCATATGCATATAAACTTAATGTAATAAAATGAATTAGGTTGCACTTGTAGTTTAAGTACCTAAGACTGGCTTACCATCATTTGTTGTACAACCTTGGGGAAATTACTTAAACACCCTAAGCCTTTATTTCCCAATCTGTATTTAACAGCAGCTACCCCACAGGTGTACAAAAGGGATTAAATGAGACAATGCAAATAGGATACATAGTACAGTGGCTGGGACATACCAGGTGCTCAACAAACACAATCCCTCATCATTATAAAATAATTTATGACCGTGTTTCTGAAATGGTTTGATTTGAAAAACTCACATTTAGACAACTTTACAAGGATATCAGTCCTGTGGAAAGTAGAACGAGCACCCCCACACATACACCAAAAAAAAAAAAAAAAAAAAAAACACCGCACGGAAAGGAAAAGAAAAACAGTAAATCTCACTCGAGTGAGATTCTCTACTAGCACTTACCACACAGAAATGCTCTTAATTAAACCGAAGAAGCTAACCTCATTCTGGGCAGGAAATTCTCCGCTTTCAGAACCTCTCTACCCTGGGCAGGATTTTGGGCATCCTTGCCCCGCCCATTAGGCGCCAGGAATTGTGACAATCAAAATGCACCCAACTCTTTCAAAAGATTCTGGAGGCGGTACCGCCCAAAGTTGAGAATCACCAAAGGAGAACCCACCCCAAATCTTCCGGAGGTCCTTTTACTACCTTCTGGATCCTATCCCGCCCAGATCTGCTCCAAAGGCAGAGGGGTATACGGGGGCGCGCCCCACATGCGCAGAGCTGGGAGTCACCTGCTGAGTCCCTGGCACCCCCACCCCAGCCACCTTCCAGATTGCAGACTTCATAATCCAAGATCCTCCCTTCCTACAGGACCGCTCAACATCCCTGAGGGGCTGCGCTGCCTTCTGAGGTGCTAGCTTTCAGCTTGCGCTCCTGACTGATCATTATCTCGAGTCCTCCGGCCTCACTGCCGGAGACTTGCGTATCTTGGCGAAATCCGGGCCACCGACACAAAATGGAGTGGGGAGTTGAAGGAACAAGGCTCAGCCCCGGGCCGCAAGAGACTGAACGCCGGGTTCCAGTGGACCAAGCCTCCTTGCCTCCACCCTAAAACCCCAACTCGAGGACTGGAGCCGCAGCGCCGACGCGCGCCATTCAAACTGGAGAGGGGTGGGACTCTAGGCCCAGAGCGAGGGAAGAGCAGACACCATCCCAAAGTGGAGGCCTGGACTGCGAGGAACCTCACAGTCCGGATCTCTCCCTGAAGAACCGGACGTTGCCCTGCCCCACAGTTTCCCTTCTGCCCCGGTTGCCCTTACCCGAATTTACCGCCAACAGCGTCGCCATCTTGGAGGCCACTAACGGAGCCCTCCTGCCGCACGGAAGCCCCAGAAAAGGGTGAGGCTGCCCAAAGCTATGCCTGAACAGAGAGGTACCACGCTGTCTCGGAATGGCACGCTCGACACACTCCGGCGGACGAAGACTTAAAAATCTGCCCTAGGTCACATATGTCAATTTTCGCCGCGATATTCTCATTCAAATTAGGCGAGGGCAACCCGTTCCGAGACGCGAAGTCCTCGATATGACGTTAGTCGTGCAGTGCATTCTGGGACTTGTAGTTTCTTTTGAAGGATAAATGAAGTTTAAGCGCAACAGAAGGCTAATTATTGAAATTACGGCTCTTCATGATATTAAAAAAGCCGTAAACTCAAGTCATTATCTGTATGTCAAATGAAATATTCCTTGCATCTCTCTCTTACTTTGAGAAGTGTAGTGGGGTGCAAGGTATCTAAATCTCAAAAAGCCATTTATTTGATCAGTTACAAACTAGGTTTTCATTACATTTCAGTATGTCAAGCAGACTGCGTCAACGTAGTTGCATAGACTGAAACAAATCAAAGTGAAACAAATGATAACTTTTCATTATGACATTTTCAAACGTATACAAAAGTAGAATAACGAACGCCCAGCTTCAATCACGTGGCCAATTCCTGTACTCCACCCCTAACACAAGTAATATTTTTGAAGAAATTTCCAGACAGATCATCTCATAAATACCAAATATTTTTCTATCTCAGCACCCCCAAATATCTGGATCTTTTTTCAATTATTAAATTTTAGTTTGCTAATTTTCAGATTAAAATATAGTCATTACCATTTACTATCATATGCCAGATGTTTATTACAAATTTGACATTATTGGACAAGGTAATAATTATTATGTCATCTCATTTAATCCCCTAAACAATCCCGCTAGGTAAATGGTGTAATTATAGCTGCTTCTCTCAGAGATGTTCCACATGCCTTACAATTTCAGTTTGTCAACTCCTCTAGCATTCCACTGAGGCTGGGAGGAAATAAGAGTTTATATTTCTATTTCACTGTTGGAAATCAGAATTACATAACGCAGACACAATCAAAGCAGACATATTCATTCTTTTGAACAAATAGTATTCAGTGACACAATGTACATTAGGTGGAACACAAAAGTCACTGATGAGTTGTTTGAAAGTCATTGTTTATATATAGACACAGATGCCAGACTACCATCAAAGTGGTTTTTAAGGAGTGAAGGGGAAGAGAGAATGAAAAGGCAAAGCGATATTTCCCGAAGTTTAGCGTGAAAGTGAGAAAAATATTGAGCAGAAACTTGGCAAAGTGGCATTTAAAGATTTTCTCTCTCAGCACAACGATTACAAACCCCCCTCCTCCCTGCATGCCCACACACTTCCCTCTAAGTAGATCACTTTGCTTTCGATGAAGAAACACTTCAACTTCCCGCAACTCCTCCCACCCACCATCACACTTACAAGGATTCTTTCACAGGTTCCTCAATCCATAGCAATTGGGATATTGGGATATTGCCATCATAGCTCTCCTCAAACTGCTCTCAGTGTGGTCACTGATGGTCAACTAATTCCATGGGCACTTTTATGAATTTCTTAGAAATTCTTTTGTTTCTTTAATGTTTATTTTTGAGGGGGAAACAACAGTGTGAGGCAGGGAGGGGCAGAGAGAGAAGGAGACACAGAATCCGCAGCAGGCTCCAGGCTCTGAGCTATCAGCACAGAGCCCGATGCAGGGCTCAAACCCAAGAACCATGAGATCATGACCTAAGCAGAAGTCAGACGCTTAACCAACTGAGCCACCCAGGCACCCCAAGAGTTTCTTAGAAATTCTATTTCTCCTTGACTTATGGGGTACCTGCTGGTTTTCGTCCTATCTTTCTAGTTCTTTTTATGTTTCCTATGTGGACTTCTCTTCCTCCTCTCACCCATTAGATGTAGCTCTTTCTGTCATTCCCAAGCTTGTTTCCTCATTCCACATGCTTTCTCTGGGAAACCTTATGGCTTCTTACTACCAGCTGTTCACTGCTGAATTCTGTGTTTCAATCTGCAGTTCAGTCCCCTCTCCCGGGCTTCAGATTTGTATATCAAGCATGTCAACTTCACATGTCTACTGATTGTCACACGGCCATCTCAGAATCAATTAATCTGAAACTCAAATTAGCACTTTCCTCTGAAAATTCTGCCACCTGTATCCAGTCGATTGCCAAGGTCAGAAATCTGGGAGTCATTCTGTATGTTTCCTTCAATGGCCAAATCCTATTCATTCTATCTCATAGATATTTCTGGAACCCTTTTTCTTTGCTCTGCACCCTGTTGCCATTGTTCCATTCGGGTCAAGCTCCTTACACTTGTATTTTGCAATAGCCGTCTCACGGGTCTTCCTGATTTCCATCTCATCCTCCTCTCATGGACGTCAAATTGATTTTCAAATACACAAAATCAGATTATGTACTTGCTCTAATCAAAACTAATCAATGACCTCTCACCTAAGAGTAATATTTGAAAACTTCTGGATTTTTTTAAGGTAGGCTCCTTAAAGGTAGGCTACCTCCTTAAGGTAGGCTTGAACTCAGGACCCTGAGATCAAGAGTCACATGCTCTACCCACTGGGCCAGCCACACGGCCCTTGAAAACTTCTCAGCAAGGCACTCATGCCACTTCCTGATCTGATTCAGCCTCCTTCTTCAACCTCCTCATCCTCACTCTTCCTCAAGCTCTTTTTGCTGATCATTCTGAACTATTTTCTATTTCCCAATAGACCATGCTTCCTTGTACCACATAGGAATATCTTTGCACCTGCTGTTCTATATGTTTGGAATGCCCTTCCTTCCCTATCCTTTGACCACCCACTAAATTAACTTCCCAAATATAATCCATCTTCCAAAGCTGAGGGCCTGTGTTAATTCTGCTTCCCTGTGCTACCTTTGATTCCACCAACGAATCTAGGGGTTTCTTTCCCTACATCCGTATTGCACTCTTAACCACCCCTATCATAGTCTGATGTGCTATGACGATTGTCTCTCCACTAAAACTGTTAGCTCCTTGCGGAAGATGGTTACTAAAAGGCCCCCAATGAATCACACATCCCTGAATTCAAGCTAGTGTGTAATCATCTGCCAAACCGAATCTGGGTGGGCCTTAAGAGTTGCTTGGGCCAAAAAAATGCAGTGGAAGTGAAGTTGGGCAAGTTCCAAGGATTTAAGAGGTGTTGCTGCTTCAACTTTTCCTCTTTTGGTGCCCTGAACATCACGTACGGAGAGCTGAACTCTCTTCCTTGAGAATGAAAGACCACGAGTGGAGAGAGTAGAGAAGCCGAGCCAGCCTCCACCTGTTCCTGTTATCCCCACTGAGACGCCAGATGCAAATAAGGCCATCTTGGTTCCTCCAGTCCTACCTGAGCCACCAGCTGACTGCAACAGGGTCAGTGAGCCCAGCACAGATTCCAGAATTGTAAGTGAACAGCTATTGTTTTAAGCTCCACTTTTATGGTTTGTTATGTTCAATACACAACTGATTTACTCCTAGAGAGCAACAACTGTGTCTTCTTATATTTAGGTTCCCTGCGCCTGCCACATCTCTGGCTTGCAGTTACAATTCAGAAAAAGATGATTTGCAGAGCCTCATGCTTCTGTGACCTACCGGAATAAAAAGAAGGCACATATAATTGTGGTTAATAGTACAGACCCTAGAGCCAGGTTTCTTGGCCTCAAGTTCGGTTTCCCTCACTGACCTGTGAAGCCCTCCTTATTGAATCAGTTTTCCCAACTCTAAATGGGGATGATAATATTAGTAACCTCACTGAAGAGTTTTCTTTTTTTTTTTAAATATTTTATTTATTTTTGATAAAGAGAGACAGAGCACAAGTGGGGAAGGGGCAGAGAGAGAAAGAGACACAGAATCTGAAGCAGGCTCCAGGCCCCGAGCTGTCAGCACAGAGCCCGACGCGGGGCTCGAACCCACAAACTGCAAGATCGTGACCTGAGCCGAAGTCGGATGCTTAACCGACTGAGCCACCCAGGCACCCCAAGTTTTCAACAAGCTTATTTGTAAAGTGTTCAGAATGTGCCTGGCACAGGGGTGGGTGCCCGGGTGGCCCGACTGGTTGCGTGTCTCACTCTTGATTTCGGAGCTGGCCCTGAAATGCCAAGTAGGGTGAGAGAAGGGCAAACAGACAGAAGCTAGAAGAGGAGACACAGATGGGAAAGACAGAGAGGAGGGAAGACCTGGGGGAGTAGGGGAGCAGTGACAGAGAGAAAATGAATTATACACTCATCCATTCAAAGTATGAGCTTTTGGGGGCACCTGGGTGGCTCAATCGGTTGAGCATCTGACTCTTGATTTCAGCTCAGCTCATGATCCCAGGGTCGTGGGATTGAGGCCCATGTCGGGCTCCATGCTGAGGATGGAGCCTGCTTGGGATTCTCTCTCTCTCTCTCTCTCTCTCTCTCTCAAATTAAAAAAAAAAAAAATGATGGGGCACCGGGGTGGCTCAGTTGGTGAAGCAACTTGGTTTTGGCTCAGGTCGTAATTTCAGCTTCATGAGTTTGAGCCCCTTGTCAAACTGTGCCGACAGTGAGGAGCTCGTTTGGGATTCTCTCGCCCTCTCTCTCTCTGCCCCTTCCCCACTCGTGCTGTCTCTGTCTCTCTCGAAAGAAATAAACTTTAAAAATAATACAATTAAATTAAAATCGTAAAATAAAAATAAACTATTTCTAAGGCAAAATAAATGCTAAAGGGAGGCACAGTAAATGACTAAAAACCAGTTTAACCAAAAGTGCACTGCAGGGGTGCCCGGCTGGTGAGTCAGTAGAACATTCAGCTCTTGATCTCGCTTGGGTTGTGAGTTTAAGCCCCACATCGGGTGTACAGATTACTCAAAAAATAAAATAAAATCTTTTTAAAAAAACCCACTGCAAAAGTGGAGGCATGCAGTGAGTAAACAATGTGGTTTCTTTGGGGTTGGGGTAAGGACTGTGTCCCAGTTAAAAAAAAAATTTTTAATGGTGGGGAGGAGCAGAGAGAGGGAGACAGAGGATCGGAAGCAGGCTCCACAAGGACAGTAAAGAACCCGATTCGGAGCTTGAACTCACGAACCAT